CTTGTCAACTTTAATGCTTTTCTTCACTTCCCTGTTTGCTTCTGCGTAGTCTGCTTGTGCTTTGACTTTATCTGCTCGTGTTCGGCTGTTGTTAATTGCTAGTTTCTTGTTCTTCCTTTCTTGAATTTTGTCCAGGGTTCCCATAGAGATCCATTCCTTGTGATGATGCTTCTTAGGACCAAGAACCTCCTGACACGTTGAACTTAGTGCTTCTTTTACCCCTTTCCAGTTGTTCTCCATCGTAGTTTCTTGTTCTTTCAGTAGATCCTGTAGAGCTTGGAACCTGTTGTTGAGAGTTTTCTTGAATTAATTGAGCTTGTCACTATCTCGAAGGAAGGCTGTATTGAACCTTTGTAGTGCTGTCTGTCCAGTTGTCCAGTATTTCTTTAGCTTCAGTCTCATCTTGGCCACAACCAGGTGGTGATCTGAAGCTATGTCAGCTCCTCTCCAGGTTCTCACATCGTCCATTGATCTTCGAAATTTTTGTTGATATAGATGTGATCTATCTGGTTCTCTGTGGTGTGGTCCGGTGAGATCCATGTAGCTTTGTGTATGCGCTTGTGTGGGAATATTGTGCCGCCTATAACCAATTTGTTGAATGCACACAGGTTTGCAAGTCTCTCCCCATTTTCATTTCTCTCTGCTAATCCATGTCGTCCAATTACATCTTCATATCCTGTGTTGTCCACTCCAACTTTAGCATTTAGATCTCCCATCAGGATGGTGAGGTCCTTTCGTGAGCACTTCACTATAATTGATTGCAGCCTTTCATAGAACTGATCTTTATCATCGTCCTTGCTATCATTGGTGGGTGCATAACATTGGATAACGTTCATTGTGATCCTTTGTTTTTTGTTCTGAATGATGCTTTGATTATCCTGGGTCCATGAGATTCCCATCCCACAAGTGCATTCCGTGCTTCTTTGGACAGCATTAGAGCAACTCCCTGAGTGTGTGGAGCATTTTCCCCTTCGTGACCGGAGTACAGCAGCATCTCTCCTGTACCTAGCCTTTGTTGTCCAGTTTGTGTCCAATGGGTTTCGCTGATTCCGAGTACTTCCAAGTTGTATCTCCTCATTTCCATTGCTATTTGGCTGGTCTTTCCCGTCTCTCACATTGTCCGGACGTTCCATGTACCTATAAAGAATGTTGCTCTGGTTGTTAGAAGGTGCATCGACCTCGTGACTTCCGAAGAATTTCTGCTTTCATCATGAGGCGTCATAATTATTCCTTCAACTCCCAGGGCAGAGTTTAAATGGTTTGAATTATTTTTTCTGGTTAACGTTTTTTTAGTGAGTTGATTTTCTACGGGATGGGGTCGCTAATCCCATGCCCAACCCTCCTCCTTTACCCGGGCTTGGGACCGACAGTAACTCTAATTTTGCGTAGACAACTGTTTATAAATACTTGTACCATCTTGACGATGGATTATTATTATTCTGATTTTCTAAACAGTTTTTAGTACTAATTTGTTTGTTGAATTCATGAGTCAATGGAAGCTAGATCGCCATGGAAAATCTGAAAGCATTGGATGGCCGTTTTGTTTTAGCGTGGGACTCCTCAGCAATACACATCTACCATCCCGTCCCACAAAATTCGAATCAAGGACCTATTAGTCTCGTGCGCGAACGATTAACCTCTAGACCACTGAGTTGGCCGGCATCCAACAGTGTTAATGTCTAAATTCAAATGATCCACGAAATTGAGCAACCGTACACCACTGTCTTCAGTGAGTTACTATCTCACAATAGACCTGGTTGAACTCATGAATTCGACTATTAAATTACCATCATGTCCACAAAACCCCTCTCTGATTGTGAGTTTAATTCTATCATCTTTAAAATTCAATAAAAATTTTCCAAGTTAACCTACCACTACCTTACTTATTAATTATCCCTGTTCATACCAGTCCTAAATTTATAACAAACGGCTTAATATAATAATGTATATTTGTGTTTCAACATGTAGCAACCAATACTCATCGGATTATTTTGAGGGTAGTTTTATGCTACTTACTACAATTAAGTAGCGTTTTATCAAATAAGGATAATTACCAAATGGTTCTAACAGTTCCTCAAATAAATATGAGGATAGAAATTAGATATCAACACTGTTGAGTGCAGGCTCAGTGGTCTAGAGATTAGGCGTACGCGTGCCAGTCCAGAAGTCTCGGGTTTTAGTCCTTCATATGGGATTGTGGATGAGCACTGTTGAGGAGTCCCATATTAGAAAGGGACAACCTACCAATTCTTCCATATCTTCAATGGTAGTCTAGCTTAGACGACTGGTGACTTCAACTGTGAAAAGCCTATAATTCATCAAATAACTTTTGAATTGTACCAACCTACTAGAATAGTTCTGTATTTACGGAACTGAAAGATATCAGAAAACTTAGTTAAATTTAGTTAAAAGTTATCCCAATTTCGATCATAAAAGTTGTGAAGGTCATTTCGAATTTAGATAAGGCAATTGAACCAATCCTTATAAATCTATTTACTTCATTTTAAACAATTAACTACTTACAAAAGTGACCTTAATGGAAAAAGGATTTCAATTACCGGTTTCATGCTAATCATTTTCATTTTAATTGTATATACTTCACGGATCAATTAGACGTTTTCTGACTTTTCTGTCTGGAACTTAAACGAACCGCAACAATTATATGCAAGTTAAAATTGCATGTCATGTGGGATAAATCCTGGAATGACTAATGAGGGTTATCCAGGAATATTATCTGCAGGACATCCTGAATCATCACTGGGAGATTTTTTCAAATAAAAACACAAAAGGATATTCAGGTTGACAAATAGGAATTATATTTAATGAATTCCTTCGACAATCAAATGGAGATTTCAATAATACACCTTACGGTGAGTCTGATGATTTTAATATACAGTAATATTTATATACATATTTAAATGTAATAGACCAATTAAGGTAGTTTGTGAGACAATGATAGTGAAATAAATTAAATAGCTGGGTAATAAATAGAATGAAGTAGAGATTAATAGTACAATGACAAGTGTTCTAACAATGGTAAGGATAACAAGGTTTTAAATGAAGGTTTCGAAATAGGAAGAAGGTCATGGTTTGGTAAGCAATAACCCGAATCGATTGGAGTCCGTACAACACATAGAATTGATTTTTTTCAACCATCTGTGACATATAATTGCATCTTAAGAAGAATTAATTGTAAAACCTTTTTCAAATATTTATAACTGTTGGTTATTGACAGTTATATTGAAGCCCTAACCTACATGATCAATCACTGTGGTTAGATACTGATCATATGCTAACATTGGGATCATTGCACGCAATTTATAGAGACTAAAACTTCTGAAAAAAGGATCCATTGTTATTTACTGATAAATAAATAGGTATCACAAATATGTTGTTTTTGGTTTTTATTCTAAACATAGGTCTATGAGGAAGATACTTAGTTTCAAAATACTTTTATAACGACAAAATGTAAATCACTTTGTAATTCTCATTCAGTACTGTCTGGCCTCTACGCATCCAAACATGCGCACTGATGTAACATTGAGATATTATAATTTCAAACTTTCTGTAATGCGTTTATCAATGTTCACCTACAAACAATCAATAAGCATTCAAGAAACTAAATTGCTACTGGAGACTCAAAGTCTTTCAAATATGACCGCACGGAGTTAGGTTTGAGGATATTTTAAAAGATGAGTCTCCTAAATACTTTATACCAAAAGAGGATACACTGACTGATGAGTATAGGTTAGTCATGGGTCATGGGCTTTCTTATATTTTATTATGCAAGAATGACATCCTTAAAAACTGATGGACAACGTGCAAGATACGGCATCGATAACAGGTTGCAAAAATGGTGCAGTTAAAACTTCCACCGTCAAAATGATCAAAGGTAGGAAATTCAAAACTCGTTAGGGGATTAACTCGTTTTATTAAAATTTTTAAAAAGAGGTACAAGAATAATCAGTATAGGGTGTTTGTTGGCATTGCAGGATTTTCACATTTGAAGTCACGGACTGATCTTAGCTAGATCATCATTAAAAACCTGGACGTACTGGATTACCATTTCGTTTTAGTGTGGGACTCCTCAGCAGTGGGGATGCACTACACTTCGCGTGGCAATCGAACTCAAGATCTCTATGTCTTTACTAGTGACCAGACTTAAGATGTAACTCCAGGAGTTCTTCTGTCTACTCACGACCAGCGGAGTTCAATCCGTGTCAAGTATCTGATATTTATCCATCGTACGCAATGAATGAGGGTTACAAAATATCGTGAATTTTTTGAAGTTAGACATTGACACTTTCGGGCGCTGACCCAATGGTTTAAAAGTTGAGCATTTGCGCGCGAGATCTAGGGTCCCGAGTTTTATTCCCTGTTGGGGAATCGTGGGTGCTCACTGCTATGGGGTTTAGTACTTGAGAATGATGGCTATACAGTGTCTCTAGGTCTAGCTAAAATCAGTTCGTGATTTAAGTTTTAATAATTGTCATTAAAAATTATAAAATTACCTACTTCTTATTATGAAACGTTGATTCGAGATATAACTATTCTTATCACTCTCAGCACATCTGTCACCATACCATAATTCTGTAATTTTCACTTTATATGAAAATTGGTTTAAGATTTAGGTAATCTACACAAATCACCGACTAAATTATCTAAGTATATATATACATACATTAATAATCAAACACCCAAGTGATAATCATCGATTCATTTGTTAAAGATAAGACATCAGAGAAAACAGGTATTTAATCATGTAATAAACTTTTGAACTTTTTGAAAGGCTCCAAAAATGTTTCTACAATCACACTACTGAATGATGAATTCGACTAACATATGAAAAATGTATTTTGTTTCTGCTACGAAAATCTGTCGACATTGTGAAGGCCAACTTGGCCAACTTAACCAATCCTTTTACAGTTACATTTTCATTTCAGCCAGTTAACTAATCGCATAAGTGACCTTAACGAAAAAAATCAATCTATTATCAGTTTCGTGCATATCATTCTCACTCTAAGTATATCAACTTGACATATGGATTTGGATATCTCTTATCTCTCTGTAGACCTCTCAAATGAGATTCAACAACCTAATACAAATTATTTAGAAAAATCTTCAATAGAACATGCTTGTTTATCGATAGGAAGCTCAGTAAATTCGAACACAACTGACTATATCGATGGAAAAATAGGAACTATGTCGTGTGAGTTCTCTGGACAATCAGACACAAACATTAATATGACATCTTCGAGTGTACCTAGCGTTTCTCCAAATGTTCCTCCTTGTACTAACAATATGTCCAGGACGCCATATTTACCAGGTACAGCCTCATTTAACATCGATTATAGGAATCAAATGCAAAGTCCTTATATTGCCGGAAATCCCTGTTCCAAAAATCCTCAGACAGATTATTTTTCATCTGTACCGTCCAGTAAATGCTCTTTTGGTTGCAACCCAGTGAACATAAATAGAGAACCCGTATACCCAATGTTTGATGATTTTCCTGTTCTTGTATCATGTCAGTTTAATGACCTTTTTGGAACTTCCAGAGTATATGGATATGGTGAATCAGCTCCATACGAAGATATAGTATGTTGTTATATGTATAACTGATTTCGTTTAATTGACTTTTCAAGTCATTTTCGTTAATTATTCTGTGTTTTACATCAATTTCAAACCTTACATTCCCATAGATTTCGATTTATGGAAACTTATGTTCAATCAGTGAATTTTTTTATTCTACATGGGGGTTGAAAAATTATGAAAATATAAATTTCACTATGTGAGCTTTTTTAGGATAAAACTGAAAATCTACAAGGACTCACAATATCTCATCTCTAAATAAGCAATTATTTAGAGTGACTCGGTAGATTTTGGTCTAGATTTTGAGCGTTTGTACTCGAAACCGAATGTCCTAGGTTTGAGTCCTGTGCATGGGATCATAGATGTGCGTTGCTGAGGAGTTCCATACTAGGATAAAACGGCATTGTCTTTGTTCTAAACCAATGATGAGTCAAAGCAGCATTAGCAGTCTTGTGTCAACTCTTATTCCTCATTAGTCCTCTGTATAATAATAATTATTATTATTATTGTCGGAATGAGGGTTTGTGGAGATTGTAGTAATTTAATGGTTGACTTCATGAGTCGATTTAAGCTAGACCACCCTGAAAAAACTGGAAGCACCAAACGGTCGTTTCGTCCTGCTGAAAAGTCTCATACCTGGACGAAATGAAAGTTCAGTACTTCCAGTTTCTCCAGGGTCGTCTAGCTTAAATCCACTCATGAATTCAATCATTAAACTATTATTATTATGAACAAGGTAAGAAAAATTAATGAATTTTGAGTTTGAAGAATGGTTGGTAAATATAAGGGTTATTTAATAATCTCAAGAATTTTTAAGTCCTTTAACATGCAAAAGTTATTTTTCAAATTACATCACTGTACTATTTATACTCCTGTTTTCAATGAGATTACAATGTTCTGGAATCATTTCATCTGAAAACGTTGAGTAATACTTTAAGTAAACACGAATAATTTGATATAAATCAACACTACTGCAGATTATTTGATTTAGGCAACCATACACTTTATTTATTTGTCAATATCCATTTACCTAATATTAGATAACACCAACTGTTACAGTTGAACCCAATTTTTTTGTTGAACATGAATGCGAACGTCTGGGGAAATGTCTATGTAGAATTTCAGTAGATGAAAGGAAAGTTATCCAAGTAATGGGTCATCGACCTGTTGTTCAACGTGTAGCAATTCTACAAAAATATAGATCAATGTACGGAAAAAATTTACCTGCCAAATTTATTTCCAAATTAAATGGATGTTTTAAAGATTGTCTGATTGCGTTGTGCTATACACCAGCAGAATTCGATGCAATCGAGCTACGTAGAGCAATGAGAGGACCTGATACTGATGAAGATACAATAATTGAAATTCTTTGTTCAAGGACAAATGAACATATCAGAAGAATCAAGAATGTTTATCCAAAATGTAAGTTATTAGTTTGTAAAATCATCAAATACATTTTGTATTCATTCTCAAAATTGAGATTGTTATGAATTACTGAATATGGTCAGTAGTTGGAAGGAAGATTCACTGCGATTAATTTCGATTATTTGAAATTTCTGAGAACGTTAAGACAAACTGTTGTGTTAATTTCCAGTTTTTTTTGGCTTTGTGTATAATGAAAATTGGACATCATAAATTTGGTTAAACTGAGGAGTCATTCAGAATGCAAGGAATAACACAAACCTAGTTTTTACTACTTAACAATACCTTGGTAGTTTGTAAAGCAAGCCTTCAAGAAAGGATGTTACACAGAGACTCTACTTCTTTTAGCTATCGTTGTCAACTTTAAGCTAATGCGTTAGAATTCAGTCGTCCACAGTTAAAAATAAAAGCTATGTTTATATCTCATATTTGAGGGTTACATTAGTTGAATAAGCAATAATCTTTAAAACAAAATGAAAATCTTTCAGCCCAGAAATGTACCTTTAATGTTATCCATCTTACCGTATGGGTTATGATAGCCTTTGAAATATGTTTCTTCTTACTTGGGACAAATATCCTGACATTTACATTTGGAAAATCACTAGCTGCTACTATTGTAAAGCAAAAATTTTCTTTACGCAGCTCCATGAGTTGACTTTGAAAATAATAATGATGTCTGTTATTAGAATACAGGGTGTACATGTCAGTTAGATATACATACATTTCAGTCTTCATGTTTACACTGCGATTGTAATTCAGGACTTGTTTCAATGTGAAAGTAAACAGTGGAATTCAAGGATATTTATCGAATGAGTTTTATGTAGGAAGTGAACATCATAGATTACATCGTAGCCACAATTCATCTTTATTAACAAAAAAAGAATGACTATCTAGGAGATTCATTCAGAGGGATTCAACAGATTGATCAATCATAAATCTTATTATCAACAATGAAACATTATAATCCCTTACTAATACTATAATCTGGACATAATGACTTTTATATAAAGTCGATATTAAAATCTTTAATATTTGTAGAAAAACAAGTTGTTGCTTAGTGAAATTAAATGTTACAAATTTTGATAATTCAATTTATCTACCTATTATCAGCATAGTTAGCAGAGATGGATAGTGGCTAGCAGTGGAATCCAGGACTATCAGGACTCAGTGGCCGAGTGGATAACGCGATAGCGTTTGAAGCGAGGGTATTGGGTTCGAGTCCCAGAGTGAACATCAACTCTGAGATGCAGGTACATCCAGCTGACGAGTCCCAAATAGGGCGAAACGCGCGTCCTGGATTCCACTGTTAGCCATTATCCATCTCTGCTAACCATGCTTGTGAATTAAGGTATATCGAGGCAATACGCACAGTATGCACATATGCCAATTAGAGACTGACCAGTTGCAGTCCTAACAAATCGATGGGAAGATTCAAACAAACAATACTAAGTTGAATTTATTATCAGCATAGTTTTACATAATTTATATTGTCAACTGTTGCCGGGCATTTGACTTTCGATTGATGATACATACTACTTATATTTATCGACATCAGTTGCACACACCACAGTACTTCTTGGATTATAGAGAAATATGTAACTCTAAGATTCTTAAGATTTACACTGTGAACTTTTGAAAATCTGTGTATTTTATTTGCTTCGTATTTTAAAATCACTTTCTTCTATTTGTCCACAAATTGAACAAAAGCTGATTATCTTACTGTTTAAGGATTCATGATACTACATATTCTACTGAAAGTGAATGAAATAAAGCAGGATTCAAATTTACAATTCAGTAGATAAAATTTCAATGTTCCGACTATGATTTCACTTTTCTACATCAATTCTAAATTATACATGATTTGTTTATCTAGTTTATTGTTGATTATGTTGAGGAGATCCAGAAAATTCCTCGAAAAAAGCCGAAAAAGGCTCTGAAAACGCTGAGAAAACCACAAAGCCGATCAGAATTCAATAAACGTTTTGTCAGAAACATTTAGAGAGTGAAAACTCACATGCCGCACTTCTGATTGGATGATTACCTGTAATGCCACTATGTTTAATGGCGTTTCAAAATTTTCTGGAAGCTCAAGGCTGTCTAAAATGCTATAAATACCTTAGAATCTCTGTACATAAACGAACCTTCGGAGTAAGGTGTTTCCTTCCATATTTCAAGCATCTCCTCTCGTGTTCAGGTCGCTGTGTAGATTTAGCATGAGGGTTACTAGAGAGCTTATGAAACCGAGTCTAGCATTCGATTATAAGACTTATCAGATTATTTAGGAAGATTATCATATAGTCATACTATTTTTGTTTACTTGAATAATCATTCATTAAAATAGTTACCATATATTGTGATAAAAACATTGTTCAGTTTAAATGTACTTACCTGTTTAAAAATAGCTCTATTCATATTCTATCTATCTAGGTCGATATGAAAGAAGATTAGTATAGTATACTCTAAACAGCAGTATTCTTAGCTGACAGTTAGTATATAATATTAGCTTTTTCTTATCACACTAAAACATTTGAAATACCATAGCTATTGATCAGTTTGTTCAACCCTTCGCTCTAAATCAAAGGTATGCATTGGTTTTATAGGTTTATACCTTAAGATATTCATTGATTATTTATTCATAAGAAGATAACAGAAGTGTAAATCGTTGGATATCACCTAAGTGGTATAAAGATGAAGAACTTGCCACGATACCTGAAGACCATGAGTCTGATAACTGATACGATTATGAATGCATATTGCGGAGAAATTTCACGCTTTGATGAAATAGCTGTCTGGTAATTACAGGCTATCAATGCTTGTTTGGCTGATGTCAGTCAGTCATGTAAACGATAAACAATTTTTTTCGCTTTTTAACTAATAACTCAGCTTTTTCGTTAAATTTTAGTATTCAATGGACGTGATTTAGAAGATTATGTCAACGATAATACTGAACATCCTTTTAAATCAATATATATAGCTTTACTAAAAACGAATAGAGATGAATTTACATTTATAGATGGGAATCTTGTACAAAGAGATGTGGAAGAATTACTTAGAGTAATGAAACAAAATATTAGAATAGATGAGTCAAAGTAAGTGTATTGTCTTTGTTATATCGGGATAAATATTAAACAAAAATGAACTTTTGGAACGGTTCAATCTGAAGTTATTATTGATATTGTTACCGTACTGTTATTTAATACTTGAACTGTTGAATTATTACACTCCTCCACTTTTGTTTGACGCACTAACTATTGTTATGTCTTTTACATTTCCTAGACTTATTGTTAATTCATTACAGACCTATTACTCAGTTCTCTCCCATATATGGTATGGTTGTGCTCATATACTAAATTCCTAATTCTGTTGATGTGTTGTGTTGTCACGACTTTGCTTTATATTACTGTATGAGTGGTCCATAAATTCGAACTGATTGGTCGGAATTCATCTGTCTATTGAGTTGTTTTTCATTGTGACCCTAGTAAGGCTGAGAGTGGGGAGAGTACGCTCTCCCTCTCGAAATTCCCTCACGTGACCACGCGTATAAAACCTCTGCCAGGGAAGTCCTACTCACTGCCTTCTCGTGGCGTGGGTGTTGTTTACGAAATTGAGAGGATGAAAAATGAATATCCGACCCTTTAACCAGGTTGCTGAACACGGAAAGTCCATCTAGGGGAGTTGAAAAACCCTGATTCCAAACCAATGGTGGACATGGGCTCCAGTATCCTGAAGGAACAAATGGCGTATGAATCAATCGTTGGTCACCGACTACCATGTGACTGCATCTCCCCACAATGATCCACTGCCTTGTGGACCAGGTCTTTAGGTCAAAGGCTACGGGTGTGGCCCCCTAAGAAAACCACCTGCTTTGGTTTGGGCACCAGGGCAGTATCACAACCCTCACACAAATCAAATGAGATTTTTGAGGCGCGTATATCTGGTGACCTTATGTACCAATGTTTATGTGTTTAAATAAATAAATAAATAATCGGGGGAGTAAATGTGGAAAACTGCATTCCGGACCAATAATCATTTAGTTGTTATCTAACATTTAGCTTATCATCCGTTAACCGGATGTCATTGGTATTGGATGGCAATCTAAACGAGCTAACCAATACTTGGACCAGATCAATGCAAGTGCTCTCTTATCTTACAGTTAGATCTTACAAGCCCTAAATAATTAAACAAATACATCTGTTTATTATCCCAACAGATCAGTTTCCACTGTAGATATACTAGTATAATTTATCAATCCTACATAGCTCATGTTTAGTTTGTGAATTTTGCATTAAAAGAGACTTAAATTTCATAAACAGAACTTTCATGTCTAATTATAGATAATTGTTTTGTGTGAGAATTCCACTTTCAATTACTGGTTTGCTTCTGGACTAGGTTTAAGTTACAAGTATTTGACCGTCGACTAATTCACAAGTATAAAGTATGAAATTTTACTATGAACTAAAATTTTAGAGTATTAATAGAATAAAATTCAGTCCATATTTTACTATATTGTTCTCAATATATATTTTCTATACATCTATCAGTCCTAAAATCGAACTCGAACTCTAGACACATTATTGATTAAATAAATAAATGTGATCCTCTGATCAGTTTGAAACATATCGTCTTTTTTTAATATCTACACATTTTAGATTCATTCCTATCTTGATTACACGATCCTATGGTCATTTACGAGCTGTATTCAATGAATATTCATCACTGGATGAATGTAATTTGGAAGAGGAAATGAGTGAACAAGCACTCAATACTATACTATCTATTGGTAAGTAGTCATCACTATCATTTTATTGAACAGAATTGTGAGTTGATTAATTAGTATGATTTAATTTGAAATTAGTTGGTGAATACTATCTTACTTACTTATTTACTTACGCTTATTAATCCTCGTGGAGAAACAAAGGCCACTCTCCAACATTCTCCATCCAACTCTAACCTGGAAAATTTTCTCCAGTTCATTCCAGTTGTAATACATCCTTTTCACGTCTGCTTCCATTTCCTGACGTAGTGTGTTCTTCGGTCTTCCCCTTTTTCGTTTCCGTTCACATTTCAAAGTTAGCGCTTGCCTCATGATGAACTTCGGGGATTTCCGTAATATATCCCACGCACCACTTCCGTCGTACTTCCCTAATTTCCTCTTCGGTTCAATACTGGTTTGTTCTCTCCCATAGTAGGCTGTTGCTCATGGTATCTCGTCAACTGACATTCAGTATCTAACGCAGACAATTGTTTACAAATAATTATACTTTTTTGATGATGAATATAATAGTTCTCGAAATTTCAGCTCCGTACAGTAGAAATGACTGTCTTGGTTCTCACTTAGATATTGGTTGACAGTTGTTACGAGTTCCATATGCTCTTCAATTGTGTGAATGCCATCCTTGCTTTGCCAATCCTCACCTTCACATCTGCATCACTTTCTCCAAATTCATCGATGATACTGTCCAGGTACATGAAAGATTTCACCTCATCCAGAGTTTCTCTACCAAGTCAGACTGGGTTGGTGTTCTCTATGTTGTATTTGAGGATGTTTCTTTTCCCTTTGTATATATTGAGGCCTGCTGAAACAGGAGCTTCTGTTACACTGGTTGTTTTCATCTGCATTTGTTAATGTGTATAAGGCAGAAGGGCCAGGTCACCTGCGAAGTTCAAATCTTCTAATTGATGTTGAGCTGTCCACTGTATTCCATGTTTCTTCTCAGATGTCAAGGTGTTCATATTAAGTTAAATTCTACTTAGAATTAAACAACTTTAATCTCTATAATTACTAGTTACTATGCAATAAGAAATGTCATATCTGTCTAATGTTTAATATCTATCAAGTTCCACTAATCAACAAGATTCAATTCGGTCATTAGTCTAAACGAAATAACATTGTGGGTATCATATTTTTGACGTAAGATAGTTTTTGCAAATGTCTTACTTGTACCTAAGAAAATCAGAGAATAATAAGCCTGAAATTTCTTTATTCCGTTATTTAACCGTAACATAGAAGTGAATGGTGAATTTTGAAGACCAAGGAATTATATTCAATTCATAATTAAGTCATAGTGTAGTGAACAAGAAAACAAGTGGAGACAATCAAATCTTAGTGAAATCTAAGAACCATACAACAAATACTTCATCTACAAAATGTCAATCAATCGTCTAACACTTTATTGTTCTTTCATTTTCACACTAGTCATTCTCCCTTCTCATTTTTCTTTTCTTGGATCTTCTTAACCTTCTGTTGCCGGGCATTTGACTTTTAATTGATGATACATACTACTTATATCTATCGACATCAGTATCATACACCAAAATAGTTTTATGCTAATGTATTTCTACTTATTTATCACTTACTATATTACTTGCTGCGAATTGTTTATTCTCATATTAAATAATTTAGTGAGCAAGTGATGAACACTTCTTTTTATCTCGTCCATTTACTTATGTATATTTCATTAATTCAAATTCATTTCAGTTCGTTGCATACAGAATAGACCAAGATATTTTGCTGAAAAATTAATTAAAGCCACGAAAAATCCAGAAAACGATTTAAAGACAATTATTCGGATTATTGTCACTCGTTGTGAAGTTGATATGGGACAAATTAAAGAAGAATTCTTTAATTTATATGGTAAACCATTAAAAGACTGTTTAAAAGTAAGTATGAATAATATTTAGGAAGTAATAATTTGTAATTATTATGGTCAACTTACTGAATCTTAAACATAGATACAATTGAGAATGTAGACTACTTTACTCTAAACTTAAGATTAACTCATAGAGTATATCTAATATCTCAATATAATCGGTGTGAACAATAATGCTCAATAACACTGAGTATTATTGATTCAATCAAAAGCTTCTCAAAAAATCTCCTACGTTCATATCTGAAGAATCATATATCATACTTGCAGTCTCATAGTCTATTGATTTACCAAAATTCAAAATGCTTCCGAAAACAATGACAATTATCAATTAGTCCTCTCTTAGTTAAAACAACTTGTGTCAAGAGTTAGTCGTAGAATATCAAAACTATCTGAAACCATTTCTATGTGAAAACTGTTTGTCAATTTATAGTTTAAGCTGGCTTAACATTATTTCTCTTCCCACTTAGATTACAGATGTATTGTATGACTGCTCTAATTGATTCTCATTGGGTAGGAACATGGTATTTCAACCAAATATGGACATATTATACTGAGACAGATAGTTAAATTAACACACAAATTTATGTGAATATAACTGTGCATTACTTCCTTATCCTACATACTACTTTGTCTTTGTTTTATGTGATGTATACTGGACTATAAGCTTGATAAGTCTTTCAAATAAAGTTATTTTAATTATAGAAGGGGTTTTGTGGAGATTTAGTATTTATCATTGTTGAAAGCGTGAGTCAATTGAAGCTAGACCACCATGGAAAACCTGGAAACACTGGACGGCCGTTTCGTCCCATTATGGGACTCCTCAGCAGTGCGCATCCACGAACCTGCTCTCGCGAGCGAGATTCGAACCCAATGATAAATACTAAATCTCCACAAAACCCCTTCTATAATTAATATAATAATATGCTCACTAGTGATTTCGAGAAGTATATCTAGGAGCTCTAGTGAGAAGCAGTGACCAGTGGAGTTCAAAACCACGTCTGTTGTGAGATAGGAACTCACTGAAGACAATTGGTGAATGGTTGCTCAACTTCGTGGATCAGTTGAAGTTAGACATTAACACCGTTGGATGCCAGCTCAGTGGTCTATCAGTTAAGGGCTTCGGCTCGAGACTGGTAGGTCCTGGGTTCGAATCTCGCTCGCGAGAGCAGGTTCGTGGATGCGCACTGCTGAGGAGTCCCATAATAGGACGAAACGGCCGTCCAGTGTTTCCAGGTTTTCCATGGTGGTCTAGCTTCAATTGACTCACGCTTTCAACAAAGTTATTTTATCCACATCGATTGTCAGAACAGAATGCTTTACCACTCCTTCACGTTATATTGCAAGTTATATTTCTACATAGACTTGTATTTTAATAGATTATGTGTAACCTTTGACAAGTCACCGTTGTGACAGTAGTTTCTCTAGCTGAAAAGGGAGAAATACCACGCTCAATCGATCACACTTCGACTAATTTAGATGTTTCAAAGTGACATTTAGTCGTATTTGCCAACAGAAGGAATATTTTACATCATGCTTTCCTGTTGCTTTGATACCGATCTCATGTACTACCCAACTCTGAAAACCAAGTTAGTAATTACGTTTTCATTCACACAATTCACTGATCGTCTGACAACTAAAATCTAAGCTTTTAGAGTCATTAGTCTTACAAGAATAAATAAATTTAATCAATGTTGAGTAGAAATTGACAAACATGATCATGTGTTGCATCAGTAACCATCGGTCAGACTGAACAGCATCACCGAACCAATCAGCATTAACATGATGGACTAGTATTTCAAGTTGAATTCATGAACTCATATCAACTGTTACGCCTCTGACAAGTGGTCGTGAACACATACGTATGATCAGTCTTGAGTACTACTCGGTCCTGCTATCAGCCTAGCCCAGCCAGTTAAGTCCAGAACACCAATAACAGCTCCGGCAATATGAATCATTATTCACAAGCATACTGCGTTTATAAACAAACCAAACAGACCACATCCTGCCAAAAAAATAGAAAATAACATTTGTACAATAATTGGCCAATGTGGTTGTGAATAGGGGGAAAGTAATCAATAAACTGATTATAACTCAAGAATCGTATAATAATAGTTCAAAGGTCACAATAAAGCTAATGATAAGAGAAACACGAATATGAATAGTCTAGTTACGTAACAATTGTACAATAGGAAATAGGCATATTACATCGGTCCATAAATAGACCTCAGAGTTACCATTAATAATTCACCAGGGGATATAACAACTTTCTCATTTGTCCAAATTAAACTCTCAGTGAAACCATGTTATTAGTAGTGCACTGAATTGCATCAATCCTGTGATGTACGAATTCTAAAACAGAGAGAAATACACATATATACGATCTACAGTCCATTAAATTGAATTTTCAGTGAGTTTACACATAAACATTGTAAAGCAACGTTGAATCATCAATGTAGATTCATGGTGAATCTAGAAATGAATTGATTTGCTGCACACGAATGAGGAGAAACCAATTGAACCTCATTAAGTTCTTAAACGTGAGGAAACATTTCATGCACATAAGATTCATGACATTGTTACGTTGTAACTGAATAATCAAAGTAGTGTGCTGGTCAAAAAGTGACACAGGAACTTCAAGGTTGTATTTCGTGTTGCTGAAATCTGATTATAACAACAAATTGAAGAGTTTCGACATATGTCGAGATTTAGTTATGAGAATATTAGACTATCCAGCATCCATGTATGGATGTGTGCGTGTATGTCTGATTTGGTGATAATATCAGATCACTTAGCTTTAAGAAAATTGTAACGGAAATAAATCACTTAATTAATAACCTTCAAATTTAATACACCACTATTATTTCGACTAGATTGTCTTTTATCTAGGTAAATCCCGGTGTTAAATTGTAGTAAACTAGTCTGATTTATGTGAAGTCATGTCATATCCTACATTGACAATAATAATTGATGACATAATTTGTAATAATATTTTACAATATATTACTTGTGTATTGAAATCATTTATGAAGTGGTCAATTATGATCAAGGGAAATAATTTACCCAAATTTAATTTCTTAAATAACTTTCATTACAGTTTGATAATGGATATAATGTAAACGAAGAATCGAATCAGATAGTCCAATCTATTAATCACATTTTATTGGGAGGTGAAGCACGTAATTGTCGTAGTATGTTATTGAAGCTTATCAGCGAATAAGCTTCTTAAAAATTGTATTAAAAATCATTTACTTACAGTGAGTAAATCCGTCAAACAATTACGAATTCATTATTTAAACGTCAACGACTTTCTTCTTTACAATATTTACTTGCTGATGTTTTAACTCACAATGAACAAAAGTATTTGCCTCATTTAACAAACACCATATTAACAAATGAAAATATTGTTCACACTTAATTCCTATCTGCCCCCTCCTCTCTCCCTTTCTCTCTCTTTCACTCTCCCTCTCTCTCTTGCTCTGTCTTTACCCTCTACTCCATTTGTTTCATCTCCTACGAAGATGTAGTAATAAGATATATTTGCTTAACTGTTTTACCTAAATGAATAAATGGATTTGTTCTGAAATTATTTTGGTAAAGCATTTACTGAGAGTAGTGAGTGGAGTGAAGCAAGTTGAAAATAGGTGATAGATATTAGCATACTCAACTGAATGATCATTAAGTTCTTTATCGTGATTACCCTGATAAGTCAAATCGGTGATCAACTAAAGAGAGATACATTCAGCGTCAGTTCATGACTTTGAAACACATCATGCAACAAATCAAACCGTGACTTCCTCATGTTGCGTATTGACCAACTAGAATGAAATATGTATGTTTGAGAATGCATTCGGTTTTCGACCTAGTAATAGACCTTCACTAATATTGTGAAGACTACCTCGTTGAACGAATTTATTTAACTGAACTTCAGTTTCCTTAACATTAATCTCCATCCTCTCAATAATTTTTCGTGCTGACTGACGAATTATGAATACACTAATAAAATAGTTGAAACTAAATTCCAGATCAGTTTGCTTGCTATATACTTGGAAGTGTATTATGCTATTTACTTTTTCTAGTCTGATTCCATTCACTGATAATTAAAGTGAAACATCAGTCAGTCTACACTGATCTGATGGTTGATATCAGTTTGGAGTGGATATTACTGACTAATTACCCAAATCTCATAATTATAATACGATCAGAATGATACGATCATTGTCATTAGTTCCGCTATTCGAAACGAGATGATTGAATGCTCATATAGTAAGAGGTAAGTCTGTTAGAGGATTCAACAGAAATTCTAACACTATCTTGAATGTCAATTTCTTTATCATGGCTATTTTTTTCATTAAGGTGCATCTTTATTCTTCGATTAATGAATAATCTATGTTGAACTTCAAAATATTTCAATACTATTAATTAGATTTTCAAACTGGATAAATTCAAAGTACAACCTAGATGGGGATTTCTATAAATTACTTTTTTTTTCATTCACAAACAATGAATATAAATAGAATTCTAAAACTGTATTTCATTATTTAACTGCAGTTTCAGTTTGTTCGTGTGACTATAAAAGCATTGATACTTAACTGGATTACACTGCATCTTACATGAATATAGTACTTGAATGATTTGGTAACATTGTGTGAGCAAAGTAGTATAGTTGTGAAATATACATCATTCAACTATAAGACATAGAAGACAAAACTTATTGGAACTATGTGATATTTTAAAGGGATATTATTTCTAACAAACTGTTTACATATAAATATACTAAGACATTTATTTAGATCAGATAAATTGGAAGGTGAAAGAAACAATTAAATCAATTGTCTCATGATCTTATAGCCTGATTCAATCTACCCGTTAATACATATTTAGTATCAACTGTTAAGTTCAACTAAGTTCACTAACTAAATTATTGAGTCGTGGAGAAAATTCTAAAATAAATCGAATGATTTGCTTACAAAACTATACTATCATTAATCATAACATAACTAATACATTTCACTAATCTCAACTTCTCATGTATTTAAGACACTTACGAGCATCAAGATATAATCAATGAGGAAATTTTTTGATAAACTAAGTAACAGTCAGTAGATGTATCGAACTCAATAATTTCAGGTAACAAGTTGCGTCTCAGAACATTACTTAGTGTGGCTCTTAAAGGGGAAGTGGTAAGCTTCCTACAGCACAATACAGGACACTTGATCAACTCTGGCCACGTTGATCCAAAAGAGTCTTCCTTATAAAGTAATCTATATAGTCAATAAGATTTGATCAAAGAGAGGTCGAATTGAAAACCTACGCACTGCTGAGGAGTTTGTAATCCACTAATTCATGCCTGAACTCTGCGTGCAAAAGCAATACGTCTAGCCTCCCATCCTTCCTTAAACCTAATCCCTTTCTCCGGTATGTTTTAGTCTTGTTTTTTTTTAATTATTATTATTTAATTTCAATCCATAATCAGTTATTATTATCTTCTTACATTTTCGATCATTATTATTCAGGTATCAAGACTTTTTTTCACTTCTCATCGGTCAAGTGGAAAATTTTTTCATATTTCTGACCTGTAAATCTTTCTCATCCACTTTATTGCTCTCTAACCGCCTAATCATTAAGCAACTTTATTTTGATATTTGAAATCATGGGATAATAATATCTAAACAGAGTTGTTTCTTTGCGATTTGTGCTCCAAATATAAAGCTGTTTTTAAAGTTTTGTTTTTTCTGACTCATATTAGGATGTGGATTATGATTGCCAAAATGTTGTTGTGTGTCAGAAATCCATACTATCTGAGTCACAACTCTTTTTGTTCGTATTAGAAGAAACCGAAATTGTTCATAAACAGGTCACGTCAAACGGAAACCTCAATACTCTATCGTATTTACCAAGATTTTAACAACAGAGAGTTCAATTCCAAAACGTACCTTTGTAAATCACACTAGATATTAGGAAAAAACTAATGCTTTCTTTTCACTTTCTGACAAAATTACTTAATTCGTTGCAAATCATTGCTAAGTCCAATCTAACATGTCGAATTAAATAAAGCCTGGCATTTTCGCATCTTTAAAACCCAAAAAAGATAGTCGATTCGATTGTTTAAAAGTTCTCCAAGTTACCTTAAATCTATGAATAATATGCCGAAATCATAATATCGATAAGAGAACTCCTGAGTAGTCAAAGTTACGCAAAACTTTCGTGTGAATGTTCTAATCATAGTATATATAACGTACGTGATATGTAGTCACTAATTATTACAACGTAACGGGGCGCCTGTAAATAGAAGAAGCACAGTTGAACAAATATAAACGAATATAAAGTAAAATTCTGATCATTTATTTAACAGTACAAGGGTGTAATGCCAAATTGAAGAATTTGAGCAACTTATTGAGGTTAGCAACCTCATCCCTTAGAAAACAACCTTGATAAAAAAACACTAACCAGAATAAACAATTTAAACCATTTTAACTCTGCCTTGCAATTTGAAGGAAGAATTACGACACTTCACGATGAATGCCGAGATTATTCGGAAGCCACGAAACTGATGCCGCTTCTAACAACCAGAACAACAAATACTACAAGTACACAGAACCGGATCGAGCACATTTGCATCAGTAAAAAATTCACAAAGACAATGAAAGACATGAGAACCAGGAGAGGAGCGGATATAGCTTCTGATAACCACCTGTTGGTCGCCGAGATGAAACTGAAGCTAAAGAAGCACTGAGCAATTGGAAAAACAGGATTACAAAAGTTTAATTCAGCCCTCCCTCGAGATACTGACAAACTCAACGAATTCAAGATAGTTCTCAACAACATGATCCAAACCTTATAAGATATATTCAAAGAAGAGGAAATGACTATGGAGGACAACTGGGAAGGGATCAAACAAGTAATGACCTCAACGTATCAAGAGGTTCTGGGCTGCAAGAAGCATCATCATAAGGAATGGATCTCTATGGAAACCCTGGACAATATTCAAGTAAGGAATAACAAAAAGACAACAATTAACAACAGCCGAACAAGAACAGAGCAAGTCAAGGCAAAAGATGAATACACAGAAGCAAATAAGCAAGTGAAGAAGAGCATTAGAGCCGAAAATCAGAAATATGTGGAAGACCTAACAAGAACAACAGAAAAAACTGCAGGAGGAGGAAATATCAAACAACTATATGACACAAAGAAGAAACTGGTAGGGAAATATAGTAAACCAGAAAGATCGGTCAAGGACAAAGAAGGCAAATGTTGTGTTTGTATGAACTAACGATTCCTTTGTGCTTGATGACTGATTGATTTCAAATCCCAGTTACAATACTTTCGTTCGTGCTCATCTAGTACTTCTTGATTAAATTGCGTTGTTTCTGGGATTACTAGTTTGTTCCATAATTCATATACTACTAATCATCACATTGGTGTCTCAATGGAGCCTGCGATAGAACAGTTGGACATTCATTCAAATGCTGAAGCTTTTAAGGATTATTTGGAAAGGTTTGAGATATGAAGCATAACCAAAAAATATGTGAAGGGTGATGAAGCTGTGGCAAATTTTCTTACATTCATCGGTAAAGAAGCCTATAGTTTATTAAAAACTTTAGCATATCCAGAAAAGCCCATCTCAATTCCTTATGCAACTCTTAAGGAATTACTGTTAAATCATGTACGGTACATCAGTTTTGAATGTCGTGAGAGAGCGAAATTTCATAAGAATAACCAAAAGCTTAAAGAATTCATTTTTGAATTGTAAAGACAAGCTGCCAAATACAATTTTGGTGATCAATTTCATGTGCAGCTGAGTGATCGATTAACTGAAGGAATTAGCATACCGAACCTGGAAAAAGAGATGTTAAGAATGCCGGACTATTCCTTTCAAGATGCTATAACTGTATGTATTAACTACGAAGCACTGAATGAACTTGACATCCAATCGATGAAAATTTCTAATATTTTGCTTAGCCTTCATGATGAAATGCAATCTCAGGGTCGATCAAACTTGCATTAGTTTATTAGTGATTCCTATTCTCGTGGAAATATGAAAGGTGATTCTACAAGGGACTGCAAAGCAAACAACAAAGGTGAGAAAAGGTTTGGTAAATGCTTATCTTGTGGCAAATTTCATTCTCGTAATTCATGTGCATTTCGTAATGCTAAATGTTTTAAATGTGGCAAGATAGGACACATTCAGTCAGTATGCAAAACTACTGTTCACTTTGCTTCAAGTATTATTAAGTCTTGTAACTTAGATCCCGATAATTCGGCTGTTTCTAGTGACCATTTATTTTTATCCACCGTTTCGAAAGGTAATGTTCATATTCAAAAGCGATTATATACATCCTTTGGTTCATTTCACCAGAACAGCAATTTTTATAGGTACATAGAACGTCCGGACAATGTGGGAGACCGGAAGAGTCTTTCAAATTGCTGCAGAAATAAGGAAATACGACCTCGGGGTGCTTGGGATCAGTGAAACACATTGGACGCAGGTTGGACAAAAACAACGACGACTAGCTTCGGGTGAGCTTCTGTTATACTCCGGTCATGAAGAAGAAAATGCCCCACATACACAAGGAGTTGCATTGATGCTGTCCGAACAAGCACAAAATGCACTTATAGGATGAGAATCTCATGGACCAAAGATCATCAAAGCCTCCTGCAAAACAAAGAAAGAGGGCATTACAATGAACGTCATCCAATGCTATGTGCCTACCAACGACTACGATGAAGACGTTGAGAAGTGCCCAACAAAGGACCTGACCATTCTGATGGGAGATATCAATGCCAAGGTTGGAATGGACAACACTGGATACGAAGACGTTATGGGACAACATGTACTGGGAGAAAGGAACGAAAATGGTAAGAGATTTGCAAACCCATGTGCCTTCGATAAACTGGTCATAGGCGGCACTATATTCCTACACAAACCCATTAACAAAACGACATGAACTTCACCGGACTACACTACACAGAACCAAATCGACCATATCTGCATGAACAAAAAGTTCAGGAGGACGATGGAGGATGTGAGAACCAGGAGAGGAGCTGATATAGCATCAGATCATTTGCTGGTCGCCAAGATGAAACTAAAACTCAAGAAGCACTGGACAACGGGGCGGACAACACCACAAAAGTTTAATAGGCCTTTCTTCGGGATACTGACAAACTCAACAAATTCAAGATAGCTCTCAGTAACAGATTCCAGGCCTTTCATGATCTAAACAATGGAGAGGGAACTACTATGGAGAGCAACTGGAAAGGGATAAAAGAGGCAATCATTTCAACATGTCAGGAGATTCTGGGCCACAAGAAGCACCATCACAAGGAATGGATCACCGTTGGTACACTGGATAAGACTGAAGAAAGGAGGAATAAGAAGGCAGCAATCAATATCAGCCGAACAAGAGCAGAAAAATCCAACGCACAAGCTGAATACACAGAAGCAAAAAAGCAAGTGAAGAGGAGCATCAGAACCGACAAACGTATATATGTGGAAGATTTAGCAATGACAGCGGAAAAGGCTGCAAGAGAGGGAAACATGAAACAACTGTATGATACAACAAAGAAACTCGCTGGAAATTACCGTAAACCAGAAGGAACAGTGAAAAGCAAGGAAGGAAAGGTAATCACCGACATTGAAGAACAACAAAACGGGTGGGCAGAACACTTCAAAGGACTCTTGAATCGACCAGATCCACTTAATCAACCCAACATCGAAGCAACACCCACGGACCTCCCAATGGATGTTGGCCCACCAACAATTGAAGAGATCAGCATGGCCATGAGACAAATCAAGAGCGGCAAAGCAGTGGGACCAGACAACATCCTGGCAGAGGCACTGAAAGCAAATGTAACAGCAACTGCAAAGATACTCCACATTCTCTTCAGTAAGATTTGGGATGAAGAACAAGCACCAACAGACTGGAAAGAAAGACTTCTGATCAAGATACCAAAGAAAAGCGATCTCAGCAAGTGCGATAACTACAGGGGTATAACTGTTCTCTCAATACCAGGTAAAGTCTTCAACAGGGTATTAATAAACAGAATGAAGGACTCCGTAGACGTCTAACTTCGAGACCGACAGGCTGAATTCCGTAAGGATCGATGAAGTGGAACAATCAACTGAATGGAATTCATCACTCTACATCAACTTCATTGACTACAAGAAAGCATTTGATAGCGTGGACAGGACAATACTATGGAGGCTTCTTCGACACTACGGCGTACCTGAGAAGATAGTCAATATCATACGGAATTCTTATAATGGATTAAACTGCTAAATCGTCCATGGAGGACAGGTAACTAACTCGTTCAAAGTAAAGACCGGTGTCAGGCAAGGTTGCTTACTCTCGTGCTTTTTCTTTCTCCTGGTTATCGACTGTATCGTGAAGACGTCAACATCTTCAGGGAAGCACGCGATACAGTGGACAGCCAGGATGCAGCTGGACAATTTAGACTTCTCAGATGGTCTGGTTCTTCTGTCACACACGCAACAACAAATTCAGGAGAAGACGACCACTGTAGCAGTAGCCTCAGCAGCAGCAGATCTCAATATAAACAAAGGGAAAAGCAAAACTCTCCGATACAATGCAACATGCACCAATCGAATCACACTTGACGGAGAAGCTTTGGAGGATATGAAAACCTTTATGTATCTGGGCAGCATCATCGGTGAACACGGTAGATCTGATGCAGATGTGAGGGCTGGGATCGGCCTGTTACTGCATTGGGAGTAACAGGCGCACGTTAGTAAGTAAGTAATAATAACTCTCAGTTGCTCTATATCTTCTTTACTGAAAATTGGACTGTTGAGGCTGTAATACATGTTATCCATATGGAAGTGATCGAATTTGAAAAACATAGAACTTAATATTTTACATATTGTTGCAAAATCGTATTCATTAAACTTATCTTTTCGATAAACTCGCACTATCATTAACATCAGATTGAAAACTAGGACCTAAACTATATTTTCTGACTATTTATAGTTCTTCGTGTGGTATGTTCCACATTAACATTTAAAGAGGATTTAAAGCTCAGGATAGTATTGTTGCTCTTGGTAGTGTAGTGTCCTCTGATTATGTGAAAGATAAAACTTCACTGACTTTCTGGAAGATATCATCGTGAGCTTCAGTCCATTAAAATGAGATTTCAGATTATTCCACAGCCATAAAACCAATACAACATAATGACCTTGTTGTCGATCGGTTTTATTCACAGGTAAAAGTATTTTCATATTTGTTAGGATTTTTGTTGAATCATCTAACAGACTAACCTCTTACTATATGAGCATTCAAACATCTCGTTTCGAATAGCGGAACTAATGACAATGATCGTATCATTCTGATCGTATTATAATTATGAGATTTGGGTAATTAGTCAGTAATATCCACTCCAAACTGATATCAACCATCAGATCAGTGTAGACTGACTGATGTTTCACTTTAATTATCAGTGAATGGAATCAGACTAGAAAAAGTAAATAGCATAATACACTTCCAAGTATATAGCAAGCAAACTGATCTGGAATTTAGTTTCAACTATTTTATTAGTGTATTCATAATTCGTCAGTCAGCACGAAAAATTATTGAGAGGATGGAGATTAATGTTAAGGAAACTGAAGTTCAGTTAAATAAATTCGTTCAACGAGGTAGTCTTCACAATATTAGTGAAGGTCTATTACTAGGTCGAAAACCGAATGCATTCTCAAACATACATATTTCATTCTAGTTGGTCAATACGCAACATGAGGAAGTCACGGTTTGATTTGTTGCATGATGTGTTTCAAAGTCATGAACTGACGCTGAATGTATCTCTCTTTAGTTGATCACCGATTTGACTTATCAGGGTAATCACGATAAAGAACTTAATGATCATTCAGTTGAGTATGCTAATATCTATCACCTATTTTCAACTTGCTTCACTCCACTCACTACTCTCAGTAAATGCTTTACCAAAATAATTTCAGAACAAATCCATTTATTCATTTAGGTAAAACAGTTAAGCAAATATATCTTATTACTACATCTTCGTAGGAGATGAAACAAATGGAGTAGAGGGTGAAGACAGAGCAAGAGAGAGAGGGAGAGTGAAAGAGAGAGAAAGGGAGAGAGGAGGGGGCAGATAGGAATTAAGTGTGAACAATATTTTCATTTGTTAATATGGTGTTTGTTAAATGAGGCAAATACTTTTGTTCATTGTGAGTTAAAACATCAGCAAGTAAATATTGTAAAGAAGAAAGTCGTTGACGTTTAAATAATGAATTCGTAATTGTTTGACGAATTTACTTATCCCCTGATAAGCTTCAATAACAGCCGACGATAATTACTTGGTGTTCTATTCCATAATGCGGGATCGATAAATAGATTTATCTGGTTTGATACTTCGTTTACAAAATATCCATTATCAAACTGTAATGAAAGTTATTTGAGATATGAAATTCGAAAAATTATATTTGAGATATAGAATAACACGGGTAAATAATCTTAATTGTAAAGCAAATAACTTTATCATAGAATCTATATCTCTCGTCATCATTGGCTTGTGAAGTTATTTGGATTTCATTAAAATCACGAAGTGATACAATTTAGGCAACTATTGAGAACTTGAAAGCACTGGAATGTTATTTTCTTCGTAGTATGGGACTCTTCGATGAAAATGCTTGATTATCGAATTTTATTCGTTCCCGTGTTTTTGGTCGATACTGACGGAAGACAGTGGAAAATTGTCTTGAAACATTATGAACTGATTGAAATTACACTTGTGTACCATCGGATCCGTTCATATACGTCTAGATTTTAAGGTTTCACGAGCGTTACCCAAGTATCTGTGTCCGATTACAGATTCTTGGACTAATACTGATTCGGAGTTTTATACCTGAAGAGAACAGTCGTCTATTGCTCTCAGCTTTCCAGTGCTTGTCTAATTTCGGTGCGTTAACTATTTAAACGAAGTATCTGATAATGTTAAACGTGCAGTAAAGTGACAATAGCTGTGGCAAATTATCACTCAATAAACATTATTAACACTTACACATATGCATTCGTCCAAAGTTTTTCTTGTCATTTTATAAAACTCTTTCAAAATATTTTTCAAATCAATTTCACAACGAGAGACAATAATACGAATAAGTGTTGTGTCATCTGCTTCAACATGTTGCATGGCTTTTAATAATTTTTCCGCAAAATATCGTGGTTTATTTTGTATACAACGAACTGAAATGAAATTTAAATAATGTGATATACATAAATAAAAGAAAACTTGATGATCATTAATTTCTAAGTTTCTTGTGCTTATTATCTGGATTATGAACATAAAACCATTCTATGTTCTCAAGAGTATCCTTATTGTAGGATTGGAACGTGTTGACTCTACAAAATTATATTTATCACTTAGTTGGGATGCTTCAAATAGACAAATTAACTAGAGTGATAAGATAATCAGGGATAGTCGACTAAGTAATCTGGAACTAGATCGTTTGGGAGGCGAATTTGAAATTTTGAGGGGATCTCAAACCACGGTGGAATTGAACACGCTCCTGAGGCGTTAACTACGAGTAATTTGGATCGCGGTTGATTTAATCGCATTAATTGATAACTGAGTGATGTGCAGTATCATTTTGTCCAGCTCCTATTGCTGATTGCAAGACTTGATGATGAGTATAATCTAGTACGAAACCTATACCCAAGGTTCCATGCTGACTACTTTAAGCCAAATTACATAGAAAAAGTGCATACAATGTTTGACTTACTTAAGTTAATAGCAATAATAAAACTTCTAAACCAACAGAATTCGGGCAACAGTAACGACCAGACTAACATGACACTGGACATCAAACTCTGATCAATCAATGAAGGAATTATAACTGTTTACTACCAATCAAATATTGATCGAAATACAACTGCTATTGAATTCCAAAGTGATTACACAATAATTCAACTAATCCCTAATTACATTAATTCAAGTCATAATTATTAATCGATACATAATTTTTCGAAAAAAAATTGTTCAACATTACTTACCTATAGAAAGTAAAGCACTGAGTGTATTTCCACTCATTCTGAACTTTAAAGTATCTTCCATACTATATTTACCAATGCGCATATATTCATTGAATACAACTCGTAAATGAGCATACGATCTTGCAGCCAATATAGGAAAGAATCTAGCATTTATAGGTATATTAAAAAGGGATCATGTTTAACATTTTTTTGAAAGACCGCGTTCTATGTTGCATCAAACTGATTCTTTATTTGTTGGACCATCATATTTATTTAGTCAGATAATTTTTAGCAGATGTCATTTTCAGATAATGGTACAGATACATATGTAAAAGGTATATAATATGACCAACATATTTTACATTCCATTGTACGGAGTCCTAACCTTCTACCTGCTATTTCAAATGGTGTTGATTAAATCAAATATATTTAAGTCATTCATGTAGTTTGTTCTCCAATATTCAATCACTTTAGTCAAATTCACACCAATTACTCTATAATCACAGATAATATTCGGGAGTACTAATGGTTTGAAAAGTTTCCAATTAAAGAAAGTCATAATCACTCAAAACACAATTTGATTTACAGTCGTGACCGATTCGAATATAAAGAAGGATTCTGCATTAAAATTAATGTTCTTCAGAGATGTGTTAATCTCCGTTGGGTAAATTTAAACATATGTTGCTCAATTGTTGTCATCTTGATGTGCTCAGCATAAAAGATACTACAGTGAAGATGTTCAGTAAGCCATCATAACAATAAGGTCAAGTTATTTTCGGAGTTACGTGACTAGAGGTCGTTCTTATCAACATAGTAAATTATTCGATTTAGCATAATATAAACAATATAGAAACTTGGCTTCATTGCGTTCCGATCTAAATTATTCCATTTCATATTGGAATAGTTAGAGAAAATCAAATCATTGATACCACCTGCAAGATGATAGATAATGTGCCTATTTGCACGATTACCACTAACTCTAAATCACATCATGCTTGTTACATTTGAGCTTCGTTAGTCTTCATCTTTAAACTATTACCATAACAACGTAAACGTCTGGTTAGTTTGTAGTTGCACCATGTGTAACACAAGTTCCAAATATCTTAATCAATGCACGTTCACGACTTCATTAATCAGCTTATCATCTTTGATTGGAACTATTTACCTACCATCAGCATCATTCAGTCAATGATCTTAACAAACATGAGTGAAGCATTTATAGTCAAATAGTTGAAAGTTGAATCCTCTCAATATACAACCTCTTATAAATTGTTGTAAATATTCTATTTTTGATAGTTAATACTTTTTCAAGTCAAAATCTATAAATTAATTAACAGGCATATAAGATTTTCTATACCAACTATTATGTGTTGAGGGAGTTTTCTGTGGAGATTTCTTAGTAATTTTTAAATACACTTGAAATCGTGAGTCAATTGAAGCTAGACCACCGTAGATAACCTGGAAGCATTGGACGGCCGTTTCGTCCTATTGTCGGACTCCTCAACTTCCAGGTTTTCCTTGGTGGTCTAGCTTCAATTGACTCACCATTTCAAGTATATATTATGTGTTGAATAAACAATACACTTACTTTGATTCATCTATTCTAATATCTTGTTTAACTGTATTCATTAATTCTTCCACATCTCTTTGTACATGATTTCTATCTACAAATGTAAATTCATCTCTATCCCCTTTTAATAGAGTTAGGAATATACGTTTGAAATGATTTGTACTATCACTGTTTACATCATCCTCTAAATCACGTCCATTGAATACTGAAATTTAATGAATAAACTTATTTATTTGTTAAAATGTAAAAATAAAATTTACAATTTGTATGATTGATCAACAAATAATCAATTAATCCTTTCTAAAATGATCCTACAATAGTAATGCATACATTTAATTTGGAATTGAAGATTGAACAAAGTAGCGTTCTATAATCGTGACATCTAAAAATTTCCAAGTATTATGTACCAATTTTAACTAAGGATGTTCTTCTTCAATGATTGATATAGCAGTCTTTCATACCGATGTTCATAAACAGAAACCCTATTTTTAAGGTATGTAAATACACTTAATTTGATGAACGCTTTTTAAATGAACGATTAATTAAGTAAACGAGAATGCAAAGACAATATGACAGGCTGTTTCTGAATAATTTAATAGTTGAGTTTATGAATCAATTAAATATAAAACGACATGGAAAACCTGGAAACACTGAAGGGGTGTTTTTTCCTAGCACGAGGCTCTTCAACGGTGCGCATTCACAATCCCACATTTAAAATTCCAAACCAGGACACTCGGTTTCGCGCACCAACGCTTAACCTCTAGACCACTGAGATGGGTGGCATCCAACTGTGTTAATGTATAACTTCAATTGATCCACGAAATTGCGACAAGTAACGTTCTTGAATTCTTTTGGATAAAGTACGCATCGAACAACCTATATACCTGTCTTTACATGAGCAGGTAAATCGGGTTGGTCAGATGAGATAATCTATCCCTAAGATTATTGATGAAAAATGATCGACTGGAAAATACTATTCGCAACATTGTTGCGAAGAACGTTCTTTTTGAAGAATCAGAAATTCTCCTCTCTAAGACGTATAAAGCTCTGACACCCTGAAAGTCAAAGTTCATGTACAATGTTTTCTTTCCGACTGAAGTTATTTGGTTTTCGACTGTTTCGGTTTCATGTTCTCGTCAATGAATATCAATGGATGCCTGCTTTGGTAAGTATTTTCTTCATCAGGCCCAGTTCGTCATCTTTGACCTCAAGACTAAAAATTCCTTGTATTCGCGTAGTAGATGATATTATTAAATTTCTCTTGCGACTAATGAGGACCCAACTGTATATATCTCACACACATTGTTGAACAGTAAATTAGTATTGATCAAAGAGTTCCCGATACTTGTATTCAACAATCTACCTTTCTCAACAAAATACAATACTATAATATTCTAATTGAACCAAAACAGTTCTGTCGGATTAACTACTTACATCAAAGTCCTGTTTTAACAACATCCACACATCGTAAATTTGCTTCACAAAAGTAATTGGACATTACGTAAGTGTAAATTACATGATATCTCAAAATAAAATGAATACTCAATTATAAAATTAAAATATTTTCATTTATTAATCACCTTAAAATTAGATGGTTCATTAAATTCACTCATTTCATTGAACTCAAGAGAACATTTCAAAGTTATCTCGGTCTTGGATTTCATGTTAAATGAAAGGTTATAAGTATGCAATGTCGATGAGTTGTGAAGTAGAAATGTCACGGTGATTTAAACGCTGTTTCCTTCGTTTCTTTAGCTAATTCAAGATTATGATATTTCATTTTTTTTCACAAATTTATCTTGATTATCAGAAATCGTTTTCTGCAAGGCAAGTGTGACTCAACAAGGCGATGAGGTTGTTCCGAACAGATGGACTTCCATTCTATAGACGTCTAGCTCATTTTTCAAACAGCTAAGTCTACGTACTAATAATTTCTTATTATTAGTTAACTTGTGTTCGTGCCTCCAAGGCAGATCTATTTGATAGTGTCCATTCAACGTTTGTAGTGAATTCGATATAGCGCTGAGTGCTATACGATCCTCCACAGACATCGATGTAGTACGAATAAATGGACCTTTGAATTCAGTTGAGTACAGTTGTTCAAACTTATCCTCTAATTCCTCTCTATCTGAGAGGTAATTAAGTACACAGTCGCTTTCATGAACTTCCATATTCAGTAATTCATAACAATCTCAATTTGAGAATTATCACAAAACGTATTTAATGGTTTTATAAACTAATAACTTACGTTTTGGATAAACATTCTTGATTCTTTTGATGTGTTCATTTGTTCTTGAACAAAGAATTTCAATTATTGTATCTTCATCGGTATCAGGTCCTCTCATTGCTCTACGTAGTTCGATTGCATCGAATTCTGCTGGTGTAAAGCATAACGCAATCAGACAATCTTTTAAATATCCAGCTAATTCAGAACTAAATTTGGAAGGTAAATTTTCTTTATACAGTGATTCATATTTTTGTAGAATTGCTACACGTTGAACAACAGGTCGACGACCCATTACTTCAATTATTACGCTTTCTTTTGTCTTTAATCTATCCATAGCTTTCTTTAAACGTTTACAGTCATGTTCAACACAGAAATCTTGCTTAGGTCCTAATGTTGGTTTCATCTAACATTAGAAGAATAAATATTTACAAGTAAATTGTAGAATCTAGCTGAAATGGTTTAGGGTAGATTGGTTTAATTTATAGGTTGTATTCATCTGCCTACCATTGAAAACCAGGAGAATACAAGCCTAGTATGTTTGCAACGTCATGCCTATATAAATAAATTTACACCAAGTTAACAACTAGACTGAAATACCTACCAACATTTGTCTGAGTCATCATAATTTACTGCATTGAGTGAGAAAAAACAACAACGCTGAATTCTCCAAACTACATCAACTAAGAAGTGAAATGTCGACTGGAAATATGGTCAGGTATTATGAGAGCTTTGTGTCGTGCACTACGTCTGTTCATAAAAATGTTTCTCACAATGATGTTCGTATTTTCAGATTTTCTAAGCTGACCAATTACCCACTCGATCAATCCATTCACCTCAATGAAATCTCAATAAATTAGAAGATACCGGAGAGAACGGTATGAAATTCATGCAATCTACCAACATTTAGAATACCATAAACTAATCAGTCTTGAACAGCAAACTAGTGGGAATATTTCTAACCCATACACCACATAAGTAAAATGAATTCGCATTCTCACTCAAAAGTTATGTTCACAGTTATGATTCATAGAACAGTCATTGAAATTAATTATTCGACCAATAACAATAATAAAAATAATAATAACATACTATATCTTCATGTGGAGCTGATTCAGCAAACCCATAAACTCTGCATGAGCCTGAAAACTCAGTCGACTGAAATGAAAGGGGAGTGGGAAAGTAGTTTGTTTGGAAATTTTGTGAAGTAGGATTTCCAGCAATATAAGGACTTTGCATTTGACTTGCATAATCAATATTGAATGAGGTTGTACCTGGTACATATGATGTAGCAGATGGATTATTGCCATAAGAAGGATTTGTATAACCTTGTTGGTTTGAAAATGGAGCAGTTGCATTGTTCGAACGTTGGTCGGAGAAACTACCTGCTTCACTACCGGGTATCTGATTAAAATTTGTTTCTGATTGTCCAGGATACTCACTCAATGTAGGCCCCGTTTCTTCTGCTGTACATCCAGCTGTGCTTGAATCCACTGAGCTCTCTGATGGTGAATTGGGAGGTGGTATTTCTGGATATCTCTCAGAACTCATTCTCGGATATACTGTAGAGGGAGTACTTGAATAAGTTGTTTGATTATGTAGGAAATAGTTCCACTCAGAGCTACCAAATACATCTAAATCCATTTCTCAAGCTGACTCAATCCAACAGACGACAAATTGATTTTTTTGTTAAGGTCACTAGTGTATTAAATTAGTTGGTTAAGATGAACATGTAACTGTAAGATGATTGGTTGAACTAACCACATAATTATCAAACGACCTTCACGGTGTCAGATTTTCATAGTCAAAACAGAACAAATATTTTAACTCATTTTTGTTAGTATCGTTCGATAATGTAACTTCTGGACTATTCTGCTAGGTTTGTGAAAATTTAAAAGTCTATCTAGTGAATGATAAGTTACTGTTCTGACTAACAAGGTATGCTAGTTAATTTGTGATTTGAACCACCATTTGTAAGTTTAATCAATGGCTTGAAGATGCTTATGTAGATGTCATGGTTTATAATTCTGTTGTCAGTTACCAAACATCTTACTTAATTTACAAAATACTACATTTTCAAGTAACAAGATAATCACATTTTTCAAATGAAAATGATACTGTTCAAATAATTAAGCTAAATATATAATCTAATGTAATACTTAATTGTAGTTTTGAAGGGATTGATGCTTCGTGTGAGATTCAAACGGGCGTGATGCCGTTTCACGGTCTTTGACATTACTTAGAAGCTTCACGATGCACCATTAAACAATTTAGTAATCGCCATTAAAATTTCTTTAGAATCGATTTCACCTCTTCAATAATAAAACTTTCCAAGAATACTATGTCACTAAACCCCACCATGAGCCATTCTAGGGTCACTCTCGGTCTTAAACCTGAGTAACGGTAAAGTGTTTGATATGGATTCAATGGTCTGATACCGTTAAAAGGAACCCTGATAAAAAAGACACCAACCAGAGCTATTATCATTATTTTTTTAATGTCGAGAACGCACACTCTCCCTCTCTCAACTTCGTGAATTCAAAATACTATATCAATAATTCAGCTGAAATATATACGTACAAAAATACTGGTTCCCATCAAATTCACAAAACATTTGAATAAAATTATACCTTTTATCCCCAATTCCCCTCACAGAATCTGGTGGAGATCCGACATTTTTTTAACAACTTGGTAATCTTACGCCTAAAATAACAGATGAAAACGTTACTATCACTTTTTCATGTTATTGTAGTGTCGGTTGATATGTTAAGCACATATACCTTATTTTAGCTTCTGGAGAAGCCAATTTACCTATCCATCTTGAATCACGTTTTCACCTTGTTAATTACTCACATATCAACCCTGACTGTTTTTTATAAAACCGTAAGTGTACACTTTTTATCTTATCTGTAATTTATTTTTATCTGACTATAAATATTGATTAACGTTTGGTTAAAGCGAGTTGGCATACTCTCTATCTCCAATGCATGTAGTTTTTGCTTCGCTCTCTTCTATTCGCTTCATCCCTCTGATTCATCAACGCAGATTAAGTCATGTATTACATACGAGGATAGACAAGATGTATATTTTGACAGTCAATCAATCATAAGATCTAAATTGAGTCGAACCATGGCCCACAAAAACATGACCGGTTAATATATGGATTTGAAACAAGTTAAAATAATTAAAAATAGAAAAAATTTCACATCATTAAAAAATCTTTATTTAGTCAAGCTTTACTAGATAAAATAATTAATAGATTCATTGATGATGAGGCTATTGCACACATTCGTCCTCTTAAATATTTCTTGTCTTATTATGAATACTATTCTGGAAAAAAATGAAATGTAATAAATTGAGATTGTTATTACTTGTGGCGGTCTGGATGCCCTGATAATGTTCAACGTAATAAGAGCCCAATCAGAGAGCAGCGAATTATCGATCGGACAAATGATACACGAAAACTGCACGAGCAGTCTAGAGTACTCATCGGTCCTGCTTTCTGCCTAGCCTAGCCAGTCAAGTCCAGAACACTAATAACAGCCTCTGCAATATGAATCATTATATTTCAAACATACTAAGTTTATATACCAATCAAACTGACCACATCTTACCATAAAATAGAAAATAACATTTGTAAAAGATTCAGTAAAATATGGCTGTGAATAAAAGACATAATAAATGATAGACAGGGCATAATTCAAGTATGGTAAATCATATAACTATAGTTTATAGATCAAAATAAAGCTCATAATAAGGGGAATATGAACATGAATAGTTTAGTTATTTAGCAATTATACGATAAAAAATATATGCATACTATTGGTTCATAAATAGATCCCAAAGTTACCATTCACTATCATTATCGGGGCATAACAGAGATAAATATTAAATAACTACATTTTAGATATTCACGTATAGTTATTATTGTCCGATTTAGTAAATACAAAGATAATTATCATTCTTCAAGATTACTGAAGATATTTACATACACTTCAATAATCATTCTTCATTATTTTTTTAAACAAGAGTAGTAGTATAGTGAACAAAACACTGGTGGGGACAATCGGATGTATTAAATTAAAAATTACAGACTATCTCACTAAATTCTAATAACCATACAATGAACTGTTAATTTACAAGCAATTGTCACAACCTTTACTGTTCCTTCTGTGAATCACAGTTCATCTTCTCTAATTCCATTGTTTATGCATTTTCCTACCAATTGTGCTTCATTTCAACTTTTTCCTCATCGGTCTTTCGCTAAAATACATTATATTCCTGACAACCGCCATATACTACTTATATGGATATAAGTAGACCACACTACAGTAGTACTCAACGGTAGTAAGTAACACGAAGGTTTTGACAACAAAATAATAAAATGAATTATAACTGTCACGTTCTGAGATGCATAAATATACATTATTAATTCAAGACATTATCTATTTACCATGAATGTGAGAAAAAGAATGATTCAACTAGGAAAGGCTGATTAAAGTTTCTAGAATATAATATCAAGAATGACTTTTCAAATCAGAGGAGTGATAGTGGTGAATGTGAATTCATGTTTGTGACATTCCAAACAGATGAAATTTAAATAATTTCGACGTTTTGCCTTGCAGTCTAGTCAGAGATTCTTAAATATTATATTGATTGAAAGTAAAATGTAGTGGGTATTTTCTTTTGTTCAGTATCCAATTTCATCAATATTTTGTAACTGAAGTTAATAAATGATTGAGAAGTACTGAGATTTAAACATTTAGTTTACTCTACATTAAATTGTGTAAGATTCATCCATAGTCAAACTGTTAGATGTAATATTTAAAGTTTTAAAGACCTGTCATATCATTTATGCATAACTTTTAATATGATTATGATGCAAGACACTGGATACAAAACATATTTTTAGAAGTTGTAGTGTGGTGTGTCCTAATGATTTCGACAGATATAAGTATTATGTATTTCCAAACGATCGTGAAATATCTGGTGGTAGAAGATTAATAAGATGGAAGAAAAGTGAATGAGAGCAGAAAGTGATTGGTGTAAAAACAAAGGAACAACAAACTCTGAGACAACTGATGGAGAAGAATTTATTGTATGGTTTTCAGACTTTGCTAAGAGATTCTGTAATTCTGTGTTCAAATATATTTGGTTGTCCTCGCTCGTGTTCTCGTTCACTACAGTGATCTTTGAGGATGCTCAAAATGATATGAGATTTACAGAGAGGAAACTCAAGAGAATAATATATAAATAAATCATTCAAAACTGTTGTGTCTTAACACTGGTGGTCAGAATCACATTAAAAGCTACCAAACAGAATCCCGATTCTAATTTGGTCTATTTCGCATCTATTACTTACTCTATATCTTGATGTCTCTGACCTGGCCAGTTAAACGTTCGACCAACACTATCAACCTGCTTCTCACTAGAACTTCAGAAAACACCTCTTGGAGCCAGTCACTAGTGAGCACATGATCAGTGACCAGTGGAGTTGTGAGATAGTAACTCACTGAAGACAATGGTGGAGGGTCGCTCACTTTCGTGGATCGGTTAAAGTTAGACATTAACACCGTTGGATGCCGACCAACTCACTGGTCTAGAGGTGAAGCGCTCGTGCGCGAGACTGATAGGTCCTGGGCTTGAATCTCGCGAGGTGGGATCGTGGATGTGCACTGCTGAGAAGTCCCAAAATGGGACGAAACGGCCGTCCAGTGCTTCCAGGTTTCCCATAGTGCTCTAGCTTCAATTGACACATGAATTCAACTATATAATCACTTCACTTCTACCAGAAGTTTGCGATGATGATGTCGTTCAGAAGGACAATGAGAGCTCCACGACCAAACCATTCAGCTCAGACAACAAACCTACGTCAAAATAAAATAGTCTTTGTAACTAGATAGTTTATATGAAACAAATTAGTAGGATTACAAACGTAAACAGATTTTACACATTCAATGAACCTATTAAAGTTTTTTATAGGTTAATCTGCATGTGAACAGAAAAACTAATGACATAAATTCGTTTTTATAGATATAGATGATCGGTATTCTCAAATCCTTATAATGACCCAAACGGAGTTTCGAAAATACTCATGTTGTTCTTGATTGGGGTTATGTTTTAATAATAACTTCTAACTTCAACCAGTCCACGAGATTGCGCGACCGTCCCCCACTATCTTCAGTGAGTAAATGTCTCACACCTGACATATTTGAGCTTCACTGGTCATAGCTTCCCACCAGAACTCAAGGAAATACCTCTTGAAGCCAGTCATCTGTTTGGACATATTCACTGTTAACATGATTTCATTGTATCATACCGTATGTACCATCCAAGTTTGTGTTGGTTTGTATCAATAAAGAAATTTTGTGGATGAATTGTAGACACGTCAGAAAGAATATCTATCTACCTTACCATTTACATGAACGATTACATACCAGTCATAAAACTTGTATTTTGCAGCTATTGATTCACATATTAAAAATAATTTTCTACACCTCTAATTAACCAGTAAATCTTATCAGTCAGTAATAAGGTGATCACAGCAAGTAAGTCATTGAATAAGCTTTTGAACTTTACAAATTAGTACTGCTTTTACTACTAAAAGTATTGAAATAGATCTTTTGTGGAATTACACGAATCATTTTACTTTATTGTATTTTGAAATTACATTACGTGTAATTTAAGGTGTAGTGAATGAGAGCACGAGTGGGTACAATCGAATGCATTTCATGAGAAAATTAGAGACTATCTCATTAAAATCTGTTAACCATACAGTAAATAGTTAATTTGCAAAATAACAATCAATTGTTTTAATTATGACCGTTCCTTCTGAAAATATCAGTCCGTCTTCTCTGATTCCATTGTTCATTCATTTTCATACCGATTGCGCTTCATTCCTGTTCATTCCTTATCGATCTTCTGCCAAAATACATTCTATGCCTGACCATCACCATATACTACTTATGTGGATATAAGTAACCCACACCACAATGGTATTTTGTCTAAATGGTTTGAAACTATGAAAAATACCTTACTGCTATAAATAATCAAAAGTTGATAAAATTTTATACAAGAAAGAGAGCAAAGATTATACATGCAAATTTATCAGCCAGTCAAAAATTGATAGAAAACTATTCCTAAATATATTGGGTCAATTATGTTTTACTTAGACTGATCAGTTATACTTTGAATAAGTTAAACTGTGTAGTGCTTGGAATTAATTAGTTAATGTCCGGTTTAGAGACTAAACTGTTTAAACTACGAAATTCAGTTAATTTACTGGACTATGTGATTATTTTTTTTCTTAACACTAACTACGAAGTTATCCAATTTTAACAAGATGATATCAGTCGAATAAATACAATATAACTGAAAAACACTGAATATCTTTTTGATTGATAGTAGGTGCCTACGACCTCAAAGAGAATTGAACTTATGATATTGAGAGATAACCCTGAGAGCGTTGTCTCACTACTGATTGTTCATGGTCTAGTGAACTAAACTGGTCACTTAATTCTGTTTGGAGACCCATAAAATTCATCGGAAAGGTCTTCAGAAGCTCGAAGAAATGGCTTAAAAAACTTCGTTAGGTGAGTTTAATCGAAATGGACTCAAGAGTTATATAAATAAAATGCGTTATGTGTCGTACTGATTTATTTTTACTAATTTTAGTATTTTTGCAAATCTTTTAAAGTACCAAGTTCACACACAAAACCTTGAATATCATTGTTTCTGTAGCTGAACTAACTTGGCAGTAGAGCTTTCTTCCATATTTTACTGTTTTATCATCTATTTCGGAGTCAAATTTAAGAAATTTCAGGTAGACTAGGACGGGGCACGAAGCCATTGTTAAGTGCTTAAATACCAGACATATTATATGCAACTCGCGATATATTTATATCACTTGAGTGAGTAACATTGATGATACCTGTTTTCTTATCAATATAACTAAACGCACAGTCAGCCACAACCTGTTTTAAATTTACGGACTCATTTTGAATTTGATTAGTAGTAAGTGCGCATTTACTAACTCGCTGGATGATTTGTGGATAAAATAGATTACTTCACTGATTAAAACAGTAGCTCACAGATGATATTGAATATTGGTGCTATTGTGGAGTGTGTTACTGATGTCGACGGTTTTAAATAGTATATATCACCAGTCAAAAGTGGAATGTCTAGCGGCAAAAGGTTAAAAAAAAATAGAAGAGGAGAGAATGAGAACAGAAAGTGACTGGTAGGGAAACAAAGGAACAACAAGGTCTGAGACAATTGATGGATATTTTTCAAATGAAGTATTTACTTTTGGTGGAGTTTCGTTCTCTGAGCTGTATGGTTTGGTCGTGAAGCCTTCATTATGATTCTGAACTACATCATCAGTACAAACTTCAGGTAGAAGTGAAGTGTCCATCAACCTGAGCTAAAAATCTTCTCCACCATCTCGAAGTATTTACTGTATGGTTCTCAGATTTTACCAAGAAATTCTGTAATATTGTAATAAAGTGCATTTGATTGTCCTCGTCTGTATTCTCGTTCACTACACTATTAATAGAACTATCTAAAGTTGGAAATATAGATAATGAAATCTCAACTCACCAGTGGTCTAAGAGTAACATATTTACCAAAAGACTAGACGAAAAGCTCAACTCTTTATAGCATTATGAATGGTTACAATTAAAAGATCTTAAACTAAAGTGAAACAATTGGAGCAGTGCATTTTTAATTTCTTTTGTTTCTTCAGAGAATCTCAGTTTGTGACAAAATCTAGTTTTAACTCTAAAAACTTTTTTTGGAATAATACAACTATAATTATCACGAAACAAAGACTACTTTTTAAACTTTAAGCATTAATAAAAGTTCAAAATAGATGAAGATAATCAATTTAGGAAGTATACGCTCATCACGTGATATGAATGATAGAAATTTATTTCCTACCTGATATTTGTTACCTTAGTTACTAAAAAAATTAATACAATAATAGTATCCAGATCACATAACATTTATATTGATTATTTCATAGTGAATTCTGTTTTAATAGTTGAATTTATGAGTCGATGTAAGCTAGACCACCGATGAGAACCTGAAAACACCGGACGGCCGATTCGTCCTAGTATAGGACTTCTTAGAAATGTTCATCCATAATCCCTCAGTCGGGACTCAAACCCAACACCTTTGGTTTCGCGGGCCAATGCTCAACTTCTAGACCACTGAACCGGCATCCAACGGTATTAAGTTCTAATTTCAATCGATCCATGATCATGCTCAACCCTTCATACATTGTCTGAGGTAGATACCTATCTCTACCTGACAAGTCCCATACTAGGGCGAAACGGCCGTCTAGTGTTTCCAGGTTTTCAATGACTGTTTAGCTTACATCAATTCATGAATTCAACTGTTACAATCACTGCAATCTCCGTATGTCCCTATTCTAACTCTGTTTTAATTTCAAGTTTTATGAGTAAAACTAATCTTGTGAAAGGTATTAAGTAAAATAATCAATCAATAATTTGTTGAATAGTTCTCAAGTAAATATCAACACAACAGTTTATCTCTAAATTAATTTGGTATTGTTTACTTGAATCTTCCCATTGATTTTTAGGACTACAATTGACCAGTCCCTTATTGACATATGTGCATACTGTGCATATCGCCTTGATTCACAAGCACTATAAGCAAAGAGTTCCATAGTGAACATCAACTCTGAGATGCAGATACATGCAGTTGATGAGTCACAAATAGGATGAAACGCGCGTCCCAGATTCCATCGCTATCCACTATCCATCTTAGTATATGTCTACGTTAAAATTATGAGTGGAATGACTACTGTGATTTTTATTATTCATCTTGATACGTCTTGTAAATTGAACGCTTTATTCAGATCCTAAGCTATTTCGATAACCCCAGGCTAGAACTACTAAGCGACTTGAACACCAGGGAGAAGACTCGAGTATGAGAGAAACACTTTACTGCAAGGTTCATTCATGTACAGAAAATACAGGGATTTTATAGTAATTAAGAGACCTTGAGTTTACATAGTAGCAGTGTGTTAATCAGCCAATCAGGATCTCGTTATTTTAGTAACATAACTTCACAATACTTCTAACTAATCGCTGATTGGTTGGGGCTCTTTATGAGCCTCTGGAGGCTTTGTTAGAGTTCTCTGGAAGCCGACTTAACACCTGTGGACCATCTTCACACATCTGAACTATTCAGTGGAAGTGTTTGACAATAGTACTGAATATATGTTCCAAGTTTTTGATGAATATTGCTTGACGTTGTAAATATGCATGGATATAAGAAAAAACAATAAGGTTTAGTCTGATAAGAATCTAACTGTAAATGTTTGAGTTACAATAAATCTTTCGCTAGGCTGATGTATGTCATTTTGAAGTGATGCAAGTTTCTAGATCTTGTTGTGATAATACTGAATCCCACTTCTCTGATACTGTATACACTAAGGGACGATTAACCAAGTAAAATTCATCTGTTCTTCAGCCATTGATTAGAACCGGTGTGGACTCCTCCATGGTGAAAACAATGTATATATAATTTTTAAAGTTCGTTTAGAAGCTCCTATAGTGCAACATTTTCTTTTTAAATGCCACTGAACGAAACTGAAAATATGGAACTAGAATTCCATCCACTTTCTTAAAACATGCAATCAAATGTCATAAGATATTTCTATGAATACAATACAGAATACTAGTTTAATTTGATCTATGAAAATTTTACATTGTGAAGGTTGTTTGTCTTTCTCCATTGGTCTATTTAACCAGTCCTAAATGCTATTTTTTTTATTTTAACCAATAACTGATCATATGAGTGACCTTGTGAAACAAATCAATTTATTGTTATTTAAGTCCTTAGCGCTCTCATTTTAATCAAATCACCTTGATAAATGGATCCAAACTTTTCAGATCTTTCAGCATGGAACTTACATAATCCCCAACAGCGTGATCCAGGTTATCCTGGTATGTCTTCTGCAGGTTATCCAGGAATGACTCCAGGGGGATATCCAGGATATCCTGATTCGTCTGGGGGTTTGCCGAGTTCAAACACAAGTACATATCCGGGAATGTCTTCTGGAGGATATTCTGACATACCATCAGGAGGTTTTGCAAATTCAAACACAATTGGATATCCAGCACCTACAATGAGTGGGTTCGATGGACAGTCAGGAGCAAAATTCAATAATACACCTTACAATGCTCATGGTGGTTTTCCCGATCAGCGTTTGAACAATCCAACTGCTCCATTTTCAAACCAACAAGGTTATACAAATCCTTCTTATGGCAATAATCCATCTGCTACATCATATGTACCAGGTACAACCTCATTCAATATTGATTATGCAAATCAAATGCAAAGTCCTTATATTGCTGGAAATCCTACTTCACAAAATTTCCAAACAAACTATTGTCCAACTATACCACCATCAGGTGGATGTTCGTTTAGTAGCGACCCAGTGAACACAAATCGAGGATCTGTATACCCGATGTTTAATGATTTTCCCACTCCGATTTCATCTCAGTCGAATGAGTTTCCAGGCTCATGCAGAGTTTATGGGTTTGCTGAATCAGCTCCACACGAAGATATAGTATGTCATTGTTATTACTTATATTATTGTTACTGGTTGAATAATTAATTTCGTTTGAAGAGTTCTCAAGTTATTTTCAATGACTGTCCTATGAATCATAACTGTGAACATAACTTTTGAGTGACAATTTGAATTTCTTTTACTTATGTGGTGTATGGGTTACAAATATTTCCACTAGTTTGCTGTTCATGACTGATTAGTCTATGGTTTTCTAAAAATTGATATATTTCGTGAATTTCATACCCTTTTCTCCCGTATCTTCTAATTTACTAAGATTTCATTGAGGTGATTGGATTAGTAGAGTGGGCAACAGGTGTGTTTTAATATCATTCCCATTTGTACATCATACGACTGAGAGGTCTGCATTAGATAATTATGTTAACAAGAGTTTTGGATATCATTATTTTGTTCAGTTCCACTCGACCACTTTATTCAAATTGAGCATATACTGTACATTTATTTTAATGAACGTGAAGTAGCAAAGGATTTTCGATCCCTGGAACGATTAATGATTATATGGATCTATCGAATACTACTGGTGAATTATTAATTCCTGTTAAAGTTATAAGCTTTTTCCCCTATAAATTCTTTCCAGTGGTACACTCTTATTTCCGGTGAATTCACATCATTCTGGAGTTATTTCGTTTTAATTTGTTAATTATTAGTCTAAGTAAACAATAAATATTCAATAAACATCAACAATTCTGTAAATAATTCTACAGCTTACTTATTCACTGATATCGAATCAATTAATTTTAGATGGAGCCAACTTTAAGAGCAACACCTAATTTCTGTGTTGAACGAGACTGTGAACGTTTAAAAAAGGCTATGGCTGGATTAGGAGCAAATGAAAAAGAGATCATCGAAGTAATGGGTCATCGATCTGTTGATCAACGTGTAATGATCGTACAAAAATACAAATCAATGTATGGAAAAGATTTATTTGCCAAATTTAAGTCTGAATTACATAATCACTTAGAAGACTGTGTGATCGCGTTGTGTTATTCACCAGCGGAATTTGATGCAATTGAACTTCGTAGAGCAATGAGAGGAGCTGGTACTGATGAAGATGCATTGATTGAAATACTTTGTTCAAGGACAAACGAGCAAATCAAAAGAATCAAGGACGTTTATCCAAAATGTAAGTTATTAGTTCGTAAAACCAAATACATTTTAAATTCATTTAGTATTGTTTGTTTGAATCTTCCCATTGATGTGTTAGGACTGCAACTGGTCAGTCTCTAATTGGCATATGTGCATACTGTGCGTATTGCCTCGATATAGCCTTAATTCAAAAGCATGGCTAGCTACTATCCATCTCTGCTTACCAAATACATTTTGTTATGAATTACTGAATGTGGTCAGTAGTTAAAAGAAAGAGTCACTATGATTAATTTTAAACTATTCAAAAATTGTTTGCTATTTTCGGGTGTATTTGATCCTATTTATGAATATAATTAAACAGTGTGAACTTGGACTAGCTGAAGAATCATAGAAATATAAGGATCCACTTGGAGTTTTCCACTTCACAACATCACTATTTTACATTCATAACCTTGTACTTACGACAGAACGTTTTTTCAATGGGCTTCTTAGGACCCCTGTCTTAGCTATAACTTATCTTTACTAAAATTTGTAACTAAAGTACAATATCGAGGTGATTCACTTAAAATTTACTCATGTTCATTGTGAGTAATGAAGTGTAGCACTGAATATCAACAACGGTAAGATACATACACTTATAAATACTATAATCCAGTTATATTCACTTCCTTTTATAAAGTTTACATCTAACCCTATAGAATTGGAAAAACAAGTTTTTACTTAATACGAACTATTAAAAATCATAAATAAAATACTTAGCTTTTAATCTTACTATAAGGCTAGTTTAACATAATTGAAAATTCTTAAATTAGAACGAAACAATTATTCAATATCCCTTGATTTTCGATGATTCTCCGTGTGATATTAGTTTGGTGGGAAAATCAATTTCAAACTATGCACATCTCTTCATATCATCTATTGTAAATTTGTTGACATACTTCTCAAGCGTCAGTACGACCAATCTAACATACTATATAAACTTTTGGGAATAACTAATCAATAATTGATCAATTGCAGTCCTAAATAATAATGGAAAGATACAAGCAAACAACAACAAGTGAACTAGTAATTAGTCTAATTATACAGTATTATACATATAAAGTACGTAGAAAAGAGCTATTCACGTGACGTCATTATATCGTGGTTATTAAACCTTAATTTCTAATCGATGTTACGCATAAATAACTTTGTATTTTGTATTATATCGACCCGCAATTACATTACGCGCGCGTGACTGTTAGGTCCTGGATTCGAATCTCGCGAGACGGGATCGTGGATGTGCACTGATGAGAAATCCCACAATGGGACGAAACGGCCATCGAACGCTTTCAGGTTTACCATGGTGGTCTAACGTCAATTGACTCATGAATTCAACTATAAAATTACTAAAAAAATCTCCACAAAACCCCTTCTGACAATTACATTTTTATTAAATTCATTTAACTCAATTAATTTCTTTCTTTCAAAACTATCTATTAAATTTATTTAGTATTGTTTATTTGAATCTTCCCATTGATGTTTAAGACTGCAACTGGTCAGTCTCGAATTGGCATATGTGCATACTGTGCGTATTGCCTCAATAGCAAAGATGGATAGTGGCTAGCAGTGGAATCCAGTCAGCTAGATGTACCTGCATCTCAAAGTTGATTTTCACCCTGGGACTCGGACCCAGTATCTTTTGCTTTAAACGCCATCGCGTCATCCACTCGACGAGTCCCAAATAGGACGAAACTCTCGTCCTGGACTCCACTGCTAGCCACTATCCATCTTTGCTTACAATATCTATTAAATGTTACGAATTTCTCACAATGTAAATTTCATAAATACCAACGATGTTAACTAGTAATTTAAATAAATAATAATATTGAATAAATTTAAGGTTGAAATAATATGAAGGTCACCTATTTCGTTGTAACCTACTAAATAAAATGTAATGAATGTTTATTAGTAGTAACGTATGAATAATAATCCATCTTCTAGAAAAAGATACTTAAATGTTACATATCTTTCATTTAAAGCAGTAAAGAAAAAAAGAAGCTATCATTCTTTTCAGACCCTTAAATAATTTATAGTAAATCAATATACAATAGAATGAATACTAATTATTATTGTAATGAACAAGAACACGACCGAGAGACATTCGAATATAATTGAGTACAAATTACAAACTATCTCACTAAGATCTGATAACCATACAGCAAACAGTTAATTTGCAAAATAACAATCAATTGTTTCAATCTTCAGTGTTTCTTCTGTAAATATCAATCCATCTTCTCTAATTTCATTGTTTATGCATTTTCCTACCAATTGCGCTTTATTTCAGTTCTTTCCTTATCGGTCTTCTGCCAAAATACATTCTATGTCTAACCATCACCATATAATACTTATGAGGATATAAGTAGACCACACCATACTATGTTCAAATTTATATGTACTGATTTAGTGTGTACATAGATTGAAAGTAATATTAATCGATGAAGTGAAGAAATCTTGCTACTTCTAAAATCATGACTTATTTGTTAGTTACAACAAATTTAAATCTTAATACAACATTTCTAAGTGAATATCTTAGGATGATTGGACAGTTGTTCTATGTAAACATTCAGTGACCTTGTTATACTTAATTTTTCTACTGACTTATATTAAACACGACCATACAGCTTTTCGGATATAAATAAAAAATATGTATACATGGTGTATAACTGTTCGAAGTTGGTAGGCTCATTCATTATCATTCGATATATATTGGTAATTCAAAGCATTTCATTGGATATTAGGTACCTATGCATACCTATGCATATATACTTTAATCTGTTTATATTTATTGATTTGAAATTCGTACATTATCGAAAACATTGTAATTCTCAAATTTTTGTAATTTACGCAATGGATTTTTGTCAATCTTTATTGGTGTTATGTCTGACATTCTTATGTCTGCGGAATACTTGACTGGAATATGTTTGACATTAAAACCCTGAATCTGACGACGCTTAGTGAAAACCAAAAACTGTTAATGAGGTCTTATTTAATCCATGAATAAATCTAAATGATGTGTGAATACATCACTTTTATATGATCTACTTACAGTTAGACTTGTGTAAATTGAACTGTGCAGTATTAGATTAATATGGCATTTGTACGAACTAATGATTCCTTTGTACTTGATTGCGCGCTTATTACGAATTACAAATATAATATGTTCATTTGTGCTCATCTAGTTCCATCTGTCTTGAATTGCAATATTTCGGGAACTCTTAAGTTGCATGTTAATTCGAATACTTCTAATTATCAGAATTAATAACTTATCATGTGAATACGCATTTGGAATATCATTCTGACCGATTTCATACAAACTAAACTTTTCTCATCTGATTCCGTCTTACCAATTTGTCCATAACCAAGTTTACCCCCAAAGCAAACATGAGCTACTTAAATCCCAGTGTAAGAATTAATGATACTACTTGTCTACAAATATCAAAGCGAAGTTCAAACCTATGGATCAGTAGGTGAAAGTTAAATGTCTCAACCATCAAGTCACTGCTTTATAATGAATTTGGTATGTGTATGATCTACTTATCTGATTTATCGTTAATCATCAAAAAGCTTCTAATATTGGTACCACTCTCTGATGAACTTGAGATATACATAATTGGTTTTACAGATTTATTGTTGATTATTCTGTCGTCCTGACGGAGACTTGACTGTGCACTTCAGAGATGTCCCAATGATTCTTGGGCTCCAGTTACTAAATTCAGTCAGTCGTGTAAACTATAAATTATTTCTTCGCTTTTTAACTATTAGCTAATTTTTTCATATAATTTCAGTACTCAATGGACGTAACTTAGAAAAAGATGTCGACAATGATACTACACACCATTTTAAACGTATATGTATTGCTTTGCTGCAAGCAAATAGAGATGAATCTACATTTGTAGATACGAATCTTGCACGGAGAGACGCGGAAGATCTATATAGAGCAGGGGAGCAAAAAATAGGAACAGACGAATCAAAGTAAGTGTATTGTTTTATTATTATTATTCTAAGTCGATTTCAGTATAATGAAGCAATCGTATAAAATTGAAGCATTCTGAAATGAGAAAAAGAATTAACTGATATAAACCGGATGTTTATATCATTGTATATGTGATTGTGATCAGTCACAATTTTAAATCAGAGTTCATTTTAATTGAATTTGACTTTCTTTAACTGAAAGCATGCTTTAATCATCATTAGTTTTTGATATAATAGAGAATTATAACGTGATTAGTGTGAACTACAATGAAGTAACTAAACGTGAAGAGCACATCTGATGTTTGAACTAAATATATTTGACTCAATCACAATTGACTGACAATATAGTTAAAAGGCCAGAATGTAATACAATAAAATCAAGTTCATAGTTCTATCATATTAGTCACCTTTTTTACTTTCTACTTATGTTTCAGTCCCAAAAACTAATAAGGGAAATAAGTACACCGTTATCATATTAAATAAATGTCATCCTCCAATAAATGAAAAGCAGTTTGATGACTTACACAACATCGATTTTTTATGACAAACACTTAAAAGTAACTTTTTCAATATCTATACAAACTAGATTCATTCACATCTTGGTTACGCGATCCTATGCTCACTTAAGAGCTGTATTCAATGAATATACATCACTTGGTAAGCGTAATATGGAAGATGCTTTAAAATCAGAAATGCATGGGCATACACTCAGTGCCTTACTCTCTATCGGTAAGTAATGCTAACCATCATTTTTCCTAACACAAATTATGAGCTGATAAATAATGATGACCACATAATTTAAAATTATTTGATGAAATCTTTAATCACCAGAGTATTGAATGGTAGTTGTATTCAAGTTAAACTCTTGTTAGCAGTGCATCGATATAATCTTTGAATCAAATAATCCCTATATGCTGTTCATTATCAAGTTTTTCACTATTTCAATTTCATTTCAGTTCGTTGTATACAAAATAAACCACGATATTTTGCAGCGAAATTACTAAAAGCCATGAAAGGTGCTGGAACAGATGACAGGACCCTTATTCGTATTATTGTATCTCGTTGTGAAGTTGATATGGGACAAATTAAAAAAGAGTTTCATAGTTTAAAAGGGAAAACACTGGAAGCATGCATACATGTAAGTATGAATAACATTTATTAAGTGAATATTGGCAATTCTTATTGAAATCTAACCGCTATATATATAATCTACAGGCCATTTTACACTTTTCAGGACGGTTGACTATAGATTGTGAGAATACGCGCAATGCCTTATGTAGCTACACATTAAGTGTAAAAGCAAACTGATCTATATAATTATTGTTCAGGCGGCCTGTTTAAACATCTGGGCTACCTGTTCCTGTCATCTAGATATTTCAACAAGTTATCTGATTCCTTTTGTTTTAATACATCATTATGCCTATTAATCGCACAACCTATTCAGGTGCGTTTCTGAAAAGTGTAAGACCTTTCGCCGTAAAGGTTACAGAAAGCTTAATCAGAGATATCGTGGTTGCTGGCAATATGCAGCGACAAGAATGTACATTATCCGGATGTCCATTGACTGGGCTGCTAACTTCTAACCGGCGATCACCCAATATTTATCGTCAGGAAGGACGAAGAAGTGTGAAACGGAAACTCGTTGAAGTACTTTGTGCTGAGAATTCTATATTGTACCCAAAATATAATATTGAATAAAGCTAATAATAATAATAATAATAGTATTCTACACCCAGAACGATTCCTGACTTAATAAGTGCTTTTATTGAAAAGTAAATTACATACAGACTTCCAGGTAATTGCTCGCGTTGCACAAGTTTGGACGTCCTTAATGTTCTCATTCTCTGCTTATTCAACTCCTCTTTGTGTGATAACTTATACTACTTATTAATATTCAGTAACCAGTTCCATTTCCTGTGAGCATATGGTGCATCGTATCTTTGCTGTACGATATTCTTAAGTACTTACATAAAATATTATTTACCCTACTTATTATCGTAACTACACTTTCATAACACTTGTAACAGTTAAATTCAGTTTTTTCTGCCTTTCTTGGATGTCCTTTTAAACTCAACAACTTCCATAATTTTGTGTTCGTAGTCTTCGTTTGACTGTTGATAGTCATTATTAACTTTAGACACAGTTAGCGGCTGCAATTTACGCTACCATATGCAGTAATTCACATTTATAAAATTATAGCAGGAAGCGTTATCTTCCAAATTGATACAGACACACTGACCCCCGCAGATGCTTCATGAGTTGAGGTTTGTAACTAATTTACATATATTTTATGTCAATAGAACTGTTCTTTGGGTAAATCTTCATTTCTAACTTGGGTTCCACGAGTATTTTAGTTGGGTTGTTCGACAAAATTGAGTGTTAGTACAGTGTTACTATAACAATCATGATGACCTGATTACTTATATGTACCTAATTATTCGTAAAAAATAATTCAATAACCGTTGAATCTAAACTTATTTATTCATACAATTGTCACAGTGTAAAGCTGTACTACAAATGCATAACCATAACAGGAAAATTTGGAGACAATGTCAAAAGTACTGAACCACCACCAAGTTTTCTCATAATAATACTAAACATAATTTAAAGTTGAATAATGAACGTATGAGTTCAGTCCACGTACCTGATTGACTGCATACGTGACCGAATTACAGGAAGTTTTATTTATTATTTATTTAAAAACATAAATATTTGTGCAAAAAGGCACCAGATATATATGCGCCACATATATCTCGTTTGATTTGTGTGAAGGCTGTGATACTATCCGGGTGCCCAAACCGAAGGAGGTGGTTTTATTAGGGGACCACACTCGAAGCCTTTGACCTAAAGGTCTGATCCACAAGGCAGTGGAGCATCGTGAGGAGATGCAGTCCCATGGTAGCCGGTGACCAACCATTGATTCAAACGCTATTTGTTCCTTATTATTTAATTTTATCACATATATATTGGTACAAAGGGCACCGGATACATATGCGCCACACAAAATAATGAGAATGGGAGGAGAAGGAAGAAGATGCGTATATATAAAGGAAGGAAAAAAAGAAAAGAAGAGTAATGATGGGGGAACTGAAATGTACAACCAGAAGAGCTCTCTTAGTTAGGAAAGTTATAGCCGCCCTTTATGAAGAAAGTAGAAGGTTACAGCAGGATCGCCACTGGCTTCTATTCTGAGCCATATCTGATAACGTCTCTAGCCACTGTGTTGCACCATCTCTCGGACCCCAGCCAGGGAGTCGTGAAGGACCAACAGAAGCTAGCCCTTTGCAGCTTTCTTTCATGCCACGACACCATTTCATACACTGACCTCCTCTCCGCTTTTTCCAACCAGTCCCAGAGTCGGCAAATAATGCACGACGTGGAATTCTCTGGGACGACATTCGTAAAACATGTCCAAGCCACCGAAGTCGGTGTTTCAAGATGGTGACACCAATTGAATTATCGTCTCTGCGCCCGAGCACACGATGCCGAACCTCTGCATTACTAACATGGTGTTACCACTGGATGTCAGCAATCCTTCGGAGACAACGATGATCGAACACAGAGAGACGTCTAACATCCTCAACTCGGAGAGGCCAGGTTTCACAAGCATAGAGCAAAACTGCCCTCACCGACGCGTTGTAGATCCGACCTTTTACAGCCAGACTAACATCACGAAGGCGCCAAAGATGGCCCAGATTGGCATAAGCCGCTCTGGCTTTCATTATACGTGCATCAATCTCATCACTCACGCCACCACCAGCACTTATGTAGCTACCTAGATACACGAACTTCTCAACTACATCAATATGCTCACCATCTAGGGTGAGTACAGGATGAAAATCGTGCCAGTCTTGTAGGAGTACCTTTCACTTGGAGGGTGCAAAGCACATGCCGTACCTGCGGACACTGACTGCCAACTGATTAAGTGCGCATTGCATGCCTTGGGCATTATCGCACAGTATGACAATATCATCCGCATACTCGAGGTCGAGAAGTCGTTCTCCAAAAGTCGCCCCCAAATGCCCTGGTACGGCCGAGAGTGGGGAGAGTCTACTCTCCCTCTCGAAATGCTCTCACATGACCAGCGAATATATAGCCTCTGCCAGGAAGTCCTACTCACTGCCTTCTCGTGGCGGGGGTGTTGTTTACGAAAGTGAGAGGACGAAAAGCGACATCGTGTGTTCGGACGCAGAGACGATAATTCAATTGGTGTCACCATCTTGAAACACCGACTTCGGTGGCTTGGACATGTTTTACGAATGTCGTCCCAGAGAATTCCACGTCGTGCATTATTTGCCGACTCTGGGACTGGTTGGAAAAAGCGGAGAGGAGGTCAGTGTATGAAATGGTGTCGTGGCATGAAAGAAAGCTGCAAAGGGCTAGCTTCTGTTGGTCCTTCACGACTCCCTGGCTGGGGTCCGAGAGATGGTGCAACACAGTGGCTAGAGACGTTATCAGATATGGCTCAGAATAGAAGCCAGTGGCGATCCTGCTGTAACCTTCTACTTTCTTCATAAAGGGCGGCTATAACTTTCCTAACTAAGAGAGCTCTTCTGGTTGTACATTTCAGTCCGCCTTATCTTTTCATCCCTTCTCTTCCTACTTTCATTATTTTGTGTGGCGCATATGTACCTGGTGCCCTTTTGTACCAATATATATGTGTTTAAATAAATAAACAAATAATAAATCTCCAGGCAGCAGATCCACACAGCCATTACTTACATCCATCAGAGCTGTTTCCAGGATGTCATCGATAGCAAAGTTGAAGAGGAATGGTGAGATCGGGCAACCCTGCCTAACCCCACTGCTCGAATGGAACAAGGGAGAAAGGTGGTTGTATGCCCTCACTCTGCCTGAGGTGTTTGTATACAGGGCCTTTAAGATGTTAATAAACTTTTCAGGCACACCCTTCTTCAATAGACAATCCCAGAGAACAGTCCTGTCCAACGAATCGAAGGCAGCCCTGATATCAAGAAACACTACGATTGTTGGCCTGCAATAAGTATGACGGTGTTCTAACATTTGGCGGAGGGTGAAGATGTGATTAATGCATCCTCGACCAGAACGAAAACCAGCCTGCTCCTCGCGAGTCAATCGTTCTCGCGTTTTAAACAACCTACGAAGAATGACAGAAGCCAATAGTTTGGACGCAATCGGAAGTAGACTTATCCCCCGATAGTTATTGCAGGAACAACGTGAACCCTTTTTAAAGATAGGGACGACTATCGACTCATTCCATGATGTTGGAACACTTTCTTGTTCCCAAACCTTTCCAAACAACACAGTCAATTCCTTAGTCAGAAGGTCACCACCATCTTTAAAAAGAGCTGGAGGTAAGTCATCTGGGCCCGGTGATTTGTAACGTTTCAAGAGTTGGAGTTCCTTGTGGACTTCCGCCTCGTTTGGTGGATCAGCCGTCACCGGCCATAGGGGGCAGGACAAACTGGTTGATGTTGCCGGAGCAGCAGGCCAGTTGAACTGTCCTTCGAAAAATTCCGCCCATCGTCCAAGACGTCGAGAGATGTTAGTGATCGGCATCCCATCATCCTCGTAGATTGTTTCACTCACACCAGACTTCTTGCTGCCAGTGGCTCGGATGAGTTGGAAGAGCTTCCGGCAGTTACCAGATGCAGCTGCTGCTTCCATCTCATTAGCACGCTCCGACCACCAGGCTTCTCGGTCCTTACGCAAGCTTTGCCCAATTTCACTACGTAACAGAATACGGTTGTGGTCATACTCACGGTCACCCGGAGTAGACCGACGGGCTTCTATCAGTTGTAAGGAGCCAGAAGAAATCCAGTGCTTGTAAGCGGGACGTTTCGCGAAGCCGCAAACGGCTTTACTCACCATTTTCATGGCATTGTGAAGATGCAACCAATGCTCATCTATACTTTTCGGTGGAATGGTAGCTAGTCTAGAAGCTAGCTCCGCTCGATACTTACTTGCAACAGAAGTTGCAGCCAGTTTACTAACATCGATCCGTTGGTGGTGGTCAATCCTTCGACCACTGAAAAGTAAGGTGAGATTGGCGCAGACCAGGGCATGATCAGACACCAGATAGGTATTCCAAAAGGAGCGGCAGTTTTGTACACAGCCACGCCAGCGGTAGCTGATCGCGATGTAACCAACCTGAGTCCAGGCTTGGGATGCAGAGGGAGGACGCCAGGTGGCACACCGGCGATGACTGTGCCGGAAGTTAATGCTGGCCAGAAACAGGTTGTGGTCTGTGCACAGTTGCAGCAAACGGTCCCCGTTATCTGTCCTGAGACCAACAAGTCCCCATCGGCCACCTAAACGACTCTCTTCTGTGCCTAGAAGCCCGACCTGTGCATTCAAGTCTCCGGCTAGTAC